TGGTCGTCAGAATTGACAAACGTCAAAATTTAAAGCGTGGGAAATATCTCCGAAAACATCCGATTGCTCCCAAACTCGTGCGGTGAAATCCCGGAAATGTCCGAAGTGGTTCGGATCGGTGAGAAATGAAACTGAAGTGAGAAAGTGACGCTTCCCGCACCCTAGATCGGTGTGTAATTAGGTATTTTGCCGACGGGAGTAGAAAATAGTATATTATGCACCAAGCGAGGTGCACGGCATTTGACTCACGAGTGGTGCGCAGCGGAGCGAGTTTTTAATAAACGAGTGAGTTAAAACGTTTACAGAACGTGTTGCATACCATACTTTTTCTACGACCGTTAGTTTTTGGATACATTTTCGCAAAACAACGTGAATACATTCACTGACATGGCCGTCAGAATTGACAAACGTCAAATTTATTGCATGGTAAATATCTCCGAAATCATCCGATTGCTCCCAAACCCGTGCGGTAAAATACCGCAAATGTCCGAAGTGGCTCGGATCCGTGGGAAATGAAACTGACGTGGGTAAAGTGACGCTTCCCGCACGCTACATCGGTGTTTAATTAGGTATTTTACAGGCGGGACTAGAAAAATTTATTTACTTATCTGGCTTTTTCTTTCTTGTGAGCTTATTTTTAAAGCATTTTGAAAATTTTAGTGTCAAAATGTTGCAAAAAAAGTACCGGTTTTAAAAAGTGTTTGTTCCCACTAGGGTGCTATTTGAAAAAACTAGATTATCCAAAAAAATTAATAGTTCATTAACTTAAATGATATTTGCCATTAAACAAGTAAAGTTTCATTTACAAAATGAGTTTCAGACAGTTGTAAGAGAAAGGAGGGAATTGCTGAAGGTGATTTTTATGGTAGTAAATACGCGCATTCGCAGTATTCATTGTGACACTACAACAGTTCAGTGAAAACTTGTCGTTTAATTGTTTACCTTTCATATCAAATATTTTGGTAAGTTTTGCATAAAGTTCATGTTCTCTACATTGGATTTAAGTATTTAATATGTAGTTTGAGTATTTTTTTTAAGTAGAGCCAATAAATATAAAATAGAAGTTTGAAAGTTGTTTTAAAATTAATTTTATGTGATTTTAGGTTTCAAAATGCCACGGACTTGTAAAAACTCCTCAGATTGTTTTGGCTACATTTGTGGAGAATACATACTAAAAACACAGCGACATGTCATGACCGATCTGGTTAAAACAGCTTATAAGCTATATTTTTTATTGTAAAACTCAAGCCGCCACATTTTTTTATTTCCTTATAATAATTTATACTTGAATAATATTGTTTTTTGATGAAATAAATATTAAATTAAAAACATACGTGTGGTACTTATTTGTATATCAGATTCCGTGTTTAGAGCATAAAATAAGATGAATTCATGCATGAAAACAAGAAGGAGAGAAAAAAATTTTTTTTTGCAGACCACTGTAATTAAAAAAAAACAGAGAGAAAAACCGTCCTATCCTACGTAGAATGTTCAAGTTGTTCCAAAAATTCAGAAAATATAGGGTGTGCCATTTAAAATTCGGAAGTTACTGTCGTTGCCGCACAAACCGGAAGTACATACATATTGTTAAAAAATTGGACATTCAGCCTATATCAACCAAATTTCAATTCACTATCTCAAGCCGTTTAAAAGTTATCCTTAGCTTTAAATTAGAGTAGAATGTCTTGTTATACCTGTTACTGCGGAAACGTGTAATTTTTGAAGATTGTTTTGAAAATAAAGTTTTTAAAAAGCCGTCCCTTCATCTATGTGGACGTGTATAAGAAACGTCAAGGTTTAGAGGTCACGCAGCGAGCAAAGGCGATTCACCTGCGCATAGCGACAATCCATCGACAAACTGTCTGAGTTTGAGTAAATAAACAGCTTCAGATTGTCGTCTATACAAACGCGAAGCCACTACGATAAGAGACACAAGCGTTTGATTTTTTTTTATTACTACTCCGGCTGAACCTTTCGGCACTAGTCGATGGAAGTTGGCCATTTTTGCTGCAAAATTTCCACATTACAACATACGATTTGGTCTATGAACTTATAACCTTCTCGGTTGCTTTGATGACCCACAAAAGGAAGAAGTTTCAGGTTGTTCGAGTGTGTGAGACTAAAAAACTGAAAAACTAAACATTTTCTGTCTGAAATTAAATAATTGTTGCGTAAAAATGGTTCCCATTGTAAGTTGCAATAGCGTCTACAAAAAAAATAAACTTTAAAGAAAAAGGCGGTGTCTAATAAAACGTTCAAAGAATTGCTTGAAGAAAACATTAGTGCGTGGGCTGGTAGAAAAAAAATAAATTTCGAGAGACGGGGTTTATTAAACACTCTTTAAATTCCTGCGATTTTTTCCCAAAATAAATTAAAAAAAATAAAGTGCAAAACGCTGCGTATCGAAAACAAAATTAGTTGGGGGCTGTCAAAACAGTAAAAATAATTTATTAGTGAACATTACTAAAATTAATAAGCAATAAAAAAAATTTATAACATATTTTTTGCATTTCTTCGGATTTGTTTCTTTTTTATTTGGAAACGGTAAGTATTATGAAACATTTACAGGAGATAAAAACTGTTAACAAAAGATAAAATAAACAAACATATTTTTTGTCATAAGTTTTTCCTTAAATTTTTTCTTCTCTTCACAACAATAAAGAATATTTCAAAACAATAAAAAACTATGCAAAGTGTGTTTTTCTACTACCGTCTGTAAAATACCTAATTACCCACCGATCTAGCGTGCGGGAAGCGTCACTTTACCACGTCAGTTTCGTTTCCCATGAATCCGAGCCCGTTCGGACATTTCCAGGATTTTACCGCACGGATTTGGGAGCAATCGAATGTTTTCGGAGATATTTCCCACGCTTTGAATTTTGACGCTCCGCTCGTGTCAAATAAACTCGTGAGTCAAATGCCGTTTAACGCACTTGTTGCATAATATACTATGTACCCAAAAACTAACGGTCGTAGAAAAAGTATAGTATGCAACACTTTCGGTAAACTTTTTTAACTCAGTGGTTTATTAAACACTCGCTCCGTTCGTGCCAGATAAACTCGTGACTCAAATGCCGTTTACCGCACTTGTTGCATAATAGTGTATTGTGTAAATGTGTATCTAGGATTTTACACCTTCATTTTCATTTAAATAGAAATAAAACGTCTTATTTATCCAATATTATTAATTTTGACTTGACTTTAGACTTGAAATACGACTTAAACACACTAATCAACACATCTAAAGCTATTTAGGCAACAAAAGTTCAGTCAAAACGTAAGGCTTCTATAATTGTATTTTTTGCCGCCTAAACTAAGCGAAGAATATGAATTTTTATTTAAAAAAAAAGTTACCTAATATTACGTACATGATGACTAATAGTTACTTTGTTAAATTAAATTCTTTCCTTTTTGCTTAGTTAGTCCTTTCTGGGTCTGGCGGATCCTATGTGGTTTCGGCACAAGATAAGTGTTGCTTAGCATCCAACAACAAAAGTATTTATTAATCTAGGGAGTAAATTTAAAATATTAAAAATCAAGTATAGTTTCAAGAGGCAGCTGTACACATTTCTGTTATAGAAAACAATAGTCGTCTCACCTAAATCCATTCTATCAGAATTTCAGTTGTGTAAGTTGCCCAAAATAAGTGTTGAAATGACAAGCCAACTGTTAGAAAATGGTCCATAAATATACTAAAAACGCAACAGCTGCTTTACATAAACACGAAAATAACAAACCATAAATTTATTTTTAAAGAAACGAAAATTTTAACACAAGAAAATAATTATCAAAAACTGGCAACAAAAGAAAAAATTCACAATAAAAAAGGAATGAATGCTGTAAATGGTCGATAAGATTAAATCCATTTTCTTATAATAATAGTGTTAAAAATAAATCAACATTTAAATAAATTCTTAGCAACTAATAATACAGATAAACTTCGAAGGTCAAGATATTCATGTCAGTTATTTCATATTTGCCCTTTTCTAATTAACCAATATTTTGTTATCGTGATTAAAAGGTTGAATGAAACTTAAAAATATAGAGAATTTTGCTACTACTTAACCACTGCAACCCAAGAACTCCTCAAGCATTATATTTATTATATTATGATTTATTATATTTATTATATTTATCCGGATTAATAAAAAAATTAATAAATAAAATAAAATTAATAAAAATTACCTCCGATCTAGCGTTCGGAAAGCGTCACTTTACCACGTGAGTTTCTTGTCCCATGGATCCGAGCCACTTCGGATATTTCCGGGATATTACTGCACGGGTTTGGGAGCAATCGGATGTTTTCGGACATTTTAAGGCACGGCTTGAATTTTGACGTTTGTCAATTCTGACAGTCACGTCAGTGAATGTATTCGTGTTGTTTTGCAAAAATTTACCCAAAAACGTAAGACGTTTGGTAAAATTTTTAAGTCACTTGTCCGCTAGTGTCAGATAAACTTGTGACTCAAACGCCGTTTACCAGACTTGTTGCATAATGTACTATATATACTGTTGTGCTTATTTGTGCGTATATACGAAAATCTATATAACGAGATGGCTATGAGCACTAAAAATTTTAAAAGGTAATTTATATTTCTGTTTGTTTATTTAGGTGAGTATAATCTTATTAAATTACACTAAGAAAAACAATAATATTAAGTATATAAATAAATTTATAGCTAGAAATATCTATACATAATTAAATTTTTATTATAAATGTCCAAATCTAATTCTGTTTCACTATCAGAGTCGATTTCGAAATTGTTATATTCTCGTAAAATAACTTTTTCGAATAGCACAACACTGCCACAAATGGTTAACACTCAGGAAATAAATCGGAAAGAAAGAAATATACCTGGCCCACCCCTGCCTTGTCACTCAAGAAAGAATAAATTTTTTCTTAATGGCATTACTCAATAACGATAGGTAATAACATTGTTAAAGCCAACACGACGAAGATTGAGACAGACTATACCGGCTTCTAAGCATAATCGACCTACCTGACACCACGTGGTCGAAACTCGATTGTCCAACATGCGCATGTCCGACATCGCCAAAGGGTACAACTGATTGCCGTATACACGGTATCTCAGGTACAAAGGTATCCCTAAAAGTAGCGAAGGGAGCAGTATTCCCAAAACGCACAACCGAAATACTCGAGTCGGACCTTTTAAATTACTCCTTCTGATGACTCCGCTTCGAAGGGGTATTTCTAAAATAGAAAACCGAATCATTAAAACACTTAAACACATCAAGTGCGATAATTTATTGGGGAAGGAGAAAAGGTAAAGTCTGTTCATAGATATAAAAAAGTGACTAACTGATATGAATTAAGGAAAGACCTGGGGAAGCTGTAAGAATGAAATATGGCTGAACAGGTCCGTACTTTGCTTAGAATTTAATTACTTGGGGTTTTGTTAGGAAAGATACTAACAATATTTATTTATTTATGTTTAAATCTAAAATAAAATTACAAATTATTTTTATTACCTACTTAAATTACTTAAAATTATTCACACGATATATCAGTATCACTATCGCCATCATCGCCTGTTTTAATTATTATTTGTTCTATATTATTTGCAATATGGATATACGATTGTTCTGCTTTTTCTATATGTTTAACAGAATTTGCCCAACTTTGTGGAAGGATGTTAAAAACTTCGGTTTCTATAAGTTTGAGGACATTGGAGTAAACACGGGGAAAAACATTGTTACGACGAATGGCAGATTTCAGTTGGTGCCAAACATGTTCAATGGGATTAAATATACAGTGGTAAGGTGGAAGCCTTAAAACTGTATGCCCTAGATTTTTTGCATAATTATCACAGACGTATTCCTTTTGTAGGTTCAAAATTTGTAGAACCTCAATTAATTGCTTTTTGGTATAATCTAAGTGAAAATAAATGTCGTTATTATACATGTAGTTTTGGATTGTTGCTTTTGTGTCACATGAGGAAGGGGTTTTTCTCAACTGTCTGCTGGGATAACTTGCATCGTCCATTACAATGACGCTATTAGGAGGAATGTTTGGAACTAGTTGTTTTTAAACCAATTTTCAAATAAATCAGCGGTGGTGTCTTCATGGTAATCCAAAGAAGAATCTTTAATATTTTTCGCAGACAGAGAAAGTCCATTTGGAATTCAACCATCTTTAGAGCCACCATGCAAAATAGTTATTCTTTTACTTCTTTTTGATGGCGCGTTTTTTTTACACTTATCAGTTGAGTCAACCCAACCCTTTTCCGGGGTATCATAAGTGTCGAGCCAGGTTTTATCCAAGTAAATTATTGGCGTTTGTTGTTCTCTGTAAATCCTAAATTTTTTCTAGATATTCCAGTCGCCATTTCCGAATTCTAAAAGATTCCATTAAAACTTGCCTTTTATCATTTTTTTTAATCTAGAACCCATGTGTTGAATGCAATTCCATAAGGTAGTTCTGCCACATTTAACACTGGTTTCATGTTTTTCAAGCCTCCTAATTAAGATATTTAATTTAGGCACGCTTTGTTCCTCATATAACTGGTAAATTTTACGCCGTATTATATCTTGATCACTTTCATCTATACAAGAAAATGTCAGCATCGCTTCTTTTTTTCCTCACTGAAATGGGATTATTCACAATTTTCCATATAGTTGATGTTGGAATTTTCGTCAATGTGGCCGTTTCTTCTAAAGATGCTTGCTTGCTGGCACCACGTTCAATGAGAGTCAAATAAACATTGTTTATAACTTCCTTAGTCTCAATAGAATAGTGTTTTCTACATTTGGGCGGGAGCATCTCCTGAGATACACTAGACTCGCAAATATTTTGCATAATTCGCACACGATTCAACACACGCTGTATTACAGACGAAATAAGAATGATTACTAATAAACTTAAACTAAGTAGTATACCAAACCAAAGAATATTAAACACAGGTAGGTATAAAATTATTTTCTATTACGGACCACAATTTTACCTGAATTTAAATTTCGGTAACTTTAGGTAATAATCTTGTTGCATTGTATGTTAATGCAACAATAATAATCTCATTCAAAAGCAATTGGTCACTTTCTTATATCTATGAACAGATCATACCTCCAGCTCCCCTATGTGGGGCTTGTGACTGAAGAATCATATTACAGTTGTCAAATTCCCTTCCAGTATACACGTTTGTTCGAAGAACAGAAATCTGTTTGATAGGAGGATGTAATTAATTTCGTTGGAGAAAATAGGCAAAGATTACCGAAACGATACATAAAAGAACTACGAAATCGATTTGTATAAATTGTGCGGTATTAAAAACAGCGTTTTTAATACCGCACTTTACTAACCAAAACTAAACAAGGAATCACCCGCTCGTTTTTCGCATTTGTTTTGAAACACCCTGTATATATGTTTATGTACGGTGCAGTGATCTTAAATAAGTTTCTCAATCGTGTGTAAGTCAGATAAAAGGTTTTATGCAGTTTTACTAAGAACTGGAGTAAAACCTTTTTTCCTTTCGAATCCTCTGAAAAAAAGCTAACATATTTTTAAAAAAAGGAACGCGTTACGTAAATATCTATTTAACATTCCCTAGTTTTTTTTAATCAAAATTAAATTTTAAAATATAAAACTAAACAAAGAACGACGCCAAAGCAGACCAAACTTCAAAGAGACGTTTACGTCAATACGAAACGTTCCTTTTGGTTTGGCATAGACACGTCAAAGTGCAACAGGGACCCAAAGATAAACTAATTTTTGCGACGTTACAAAGCTTAACGTTACTGAAGGAAAAACTGGAAATAGTATCGATGCGCATTTAATATTGCACACACACGATCACTTTGTAATAAATTATGTAAATTATGTAGAAAAAAAAAGAATTTTCCATGGCCTAATGTGCTTTCTACTTGAGGTTCTTTTGGGTGTTACTTATTTGTGAAAATGCTCATTAAAGTTTAGTCTGTATATCAAAATTTGTAAATTTCGGAAGATAACGGACCATGCCTTTGTCTTGTCTTTTTTATGAGATTCTTTTTTACGTTATCATTCGAACAATAATTTAATTTAAAACCTTGCATGTCTATGTTTGAAATTAAATTTATTATATCAAACACTCTTAAGTCTTTTCTTTAAGTAAACAAAACTAGGCGACTAGGCTTGTGGTACCATGATTAACTGAGGATGGACAACAGTGCAGGTAAGTTAAGCATCTTACCTTCGACTTCGGGCGATCCGCTCATGTTTTATGTGGGCAAAGCCAATTATTCTTTATCACTTCAATGCGTGCCGTTCGACTTTTGAGATTGCGCATCCCGGCGACTAAACATTTGAAGTTAATGGTTGACAAAATCTTATCTTCGAGCCGACTGTAAATTGTTATTAAATTATTAGCTTTGCTTTGTTCAGATACGTACGATTTTTAATCCCCGTCGAACGAGTACTACAAAAGCGAAACAATGCCCAAACCGACACTCAATAAATTACCTACTAAACAGTGTCTCGCTTTCGAGATAAAACGCGAACACAAACGGTCTAATGGAACGGACATCGGTTCCAAATTAATGCAAATCATATTTACACTATCAGTAATTGATAAGGAACGTGTATACTGATTTGTAACCCAGAAAATAGAGGAAAAGTTTAATTTTTTATCTTGTCTGCATCCGCGGCCTAATTTAAGATTATAGAAACGAAATATTGCGCAGCGGAAAGTTCTATCGAAGGGATACAGCGGTACCTTTTTCTTTATTCTTTATATTCCTTGTTGGGAATAATAGACTCACTGTGAATATAAAAGGTGAATATAATGGTTGCTCTCGCTGCCGTTGCATGGCCGATTCGGTTTTCTTCATCATTAAAAACTAGCACGCAAACTAAAAGTACTTTGTTTCTTATTTGTCGCCCGACGTCCATTCGTAGAAAAAAAGCGCCAAACCGTACCTAAGCTATTTTCCGAAAAACGTCAACTTACTCCGCCATCTGGTGTTGCACGGTAAAATTGAAAAACACACCGCATATTTAGATGAGCGCACGTTAGATAGCGCAACTAAAAATATAAAAAAATCAATACTACGCCAATAATTGTTGTGAAAAGACCATCAGGTCGAAAATGAATGTTCGGTGATTATTATAAACTACAAGTTGCTAATTGACAATGACATTTTCACTATACCGTATTGGACAAAATATCGCGTTACTTTGAGAAAATTACGGCAACGTTCAGTACTAAAGTTGAGTTTTAATTTAATTTTAAAATTATCAGCTCCGATTGCTCATTATACCCATTGTTATCTTTTTTTGGCATTAAATAATACTTGACAAACCAATTTTTTTGGCTGACAGTGATTGATTTTTCACATAACCTCAACTGAAGGTGTATTAAAAACGGATAACAATTCGGCATCCATTTTTTAAAAACTTTGTTGTCTCCGCTGCTGTTTGGAATATACTAAACAAAGATAAACAAAAATGACGTCAGTTTGAGTAAATTGTGTATGAATAAAACCAAATCATATTTAACCTTAATTTCATATTCGTCCCGTCGCCGTCAAGTTCAACGGATTTCAAATAGTTCACATATTTGCCAGCACTCAAATTAACAACTTTTGCACGGCTTTTGCGGCAATTTATCTACTTGCAATAATTTACGAAGGGTTTACTGCAAATGCGCGATCGATCCTAGCAGTTTTGTCTAACCAACATATAATGAATTAAATATTCTTTGATTGGGCGATTGTCCTTAGCAATTTTGCTTCTTCGTGTTGATATATTCTTTGGCTGATTATTATAAACATAACCCACTCGTAATTTAAAAGGAAACAAAAAAATATGAGCAATATTTATATTTTAGAACCTCCAACTTCGGGAAAAGTAAGTTAATGGCATCGACATTAAGTCTGTAAAAACTCTATTTTAGATTTTGCTCAAAACCACAGCGGGAGATATCGATATCGAATTATGGTCAAAAGAAACTCCCACGACTTGTAGAAATTTCATACAGCTGTGCTTGGAAGGATATTACGACAATACCATATTTCATAGGGTCGTTAAAAACTTTATTGTGCAAGGTTTGTACTTAATGTGTACCTGAATAAACTTAATTAGAACACAATACTCCTCGCATATTAATATTTTTAAGGTGGCGATCCAAGCGGGAATGGTACAGGTGGAGAATCCATATACGGAGAACCTTTTAAAGATGAATTCCATCAAAGGCTACGTTTCACCAGAAGGGGATTGGTCGCGATGGCAAATGCCGGCAAAGATGATAACGGCTCCCAATTTTTTTTCACTCTCGCTGCAACCCCAGAGTTGCAGAATAAACACACTATTTTCGCCAAAGTCACGGGCGATACGGTTTTTAACATGCTCAAATTGGCAGAAGGTTTAATAGAGGACGAGAGGCCGGTATACCCCTATAAAATACTTAAAACGGAAGTGTTACACAATCCGTTCGATGACATTGTCCCAAGAGTCAAAGAAACAGTGGTCAAAGAGAAAAAGAAGAAAGAAAAAATCCCGGGAGTCAAGTAAGGCCAGGTTTATTTATTAATCGCAATCTTGTAATTTTACTTTTTCCTTCCTCTCGAGAAACTTTAAATTGTTATCATTTGGAGAAGAAGCTGAGGAAGACGAAGAGGTGTCTGCGAGAGAAAACGTTAAGCTTTCCGGAAAAGGGAAATCTTCACATGACATGCTGAGTAAACAATTTTTTTTTTAAACAACTGGATAATCATGATCCAACTGTATTTCGCAGATGATCCAAAATTAAGTGCACAGACAGATAAAATACCAGAAATTAAAGAGGAAGAGATTGATGCGGAGGAGCAATTAGAAAATATAAGAAAAAAATTAAAAACTGGCCACAAGAAATCGAAACCCGCGTCGTCTCGAAAATCGCAAGCATCCGAAATTATTGACGTAGATGATGACGCCGACTTAGAGGAGTATTATCTTCATAAAGATAGAGATATGGAAAGAAAAAAGAAAGTGTAAGACTTTTTAATGTCCTTTTTTACTGAAATATGTGATTCATTGTATTGTAGAGAAGAGCTTAAAAAGGAAATTCAAAACATAAAAAAAGAGTACCGCAAGAACAAAATCGATAAAAACGCGCAAAAGGAGGAGAACCTTAAGAAGGAACAGGAGAAGAACGCCGCCATCAAAGACTTTGAGGAGGAGTACAATGTGTACAAGAGCAAAAATAAAGCGCTGCCTAAAAAAGGGGCCGGCAGGGAGGAGTTCACTTTGCAACTCTTGGAGGAGTTTAAAAAGAAATTACGCTCCGTCAAAGAAGTGGAACCGGAAAGTGATGCGGAAGAAAATAAAGATGAAGAACGAGAGAAAGACTGGTGAGAGATAAATTTTTATTATTCTAACTTTTTAATGCGGGATTAGTAAAAGTGCAAATAGGCAATCTCATTTCCAAAGAGGTGTTGGTCCTTTAACACTGTTCCTAAAGATTAGAATTTATTCCCACTTTTTGATAATTAACCTACCACAAGATTTCAGATTTGACTGACTTTGGGAAATAATTTTCGGATAACCTGGAAAATTTTTGTGATCCACCGTCCTTACGTATTTAAATCTTGCAAAACCTTTTTCCAGGTGCAGGTGTGACGATGTTAGTATTAAAATAACAAATAAATGAATTAATTAATAATTTTCAAAACGGGCATATATATATATATATATATATATATATATATATATATATATATATATATATATATATATATATATATATATATATATATATATATATATATATATATGTATATTTTTTTTTTTGAAAATCGTGTCCCTTTAAATTTAGAAACTTAATTTACTTTAGAAGTTACGAAAAATGCAAGTAATTAAAAAATATCGCACGATATACATGGTCACTCGCCGTCAACATTGATGTGATATAGTAATTAGGTATAACATAAATTTGATACTTTGGAGTTATTAAAAGTGTTCTGTTGCCACTAATTAATTAATAAAAATAAATAAATTATTAATTACTTAATTTTTGTATAGAAAATTTTATGTAATACTTATCTTTATAATTTTAAACATGTAATTTTGTTCATAGGATTCATTTACGATTTGTAGCTAAAAACTGTTATAAGTTGATGAAAAAAAAATACAAACAAGCTCGCAAAAAGTTTTGAATCATTAGTTGAGGGAACACTCCAAAAATATTAGTTATTAATAATAATTAACAAAGTTCCACCAAATATAGTAATTAATATATATAAAAATTGAAACCTAAAAATAGTAAAATAATTATTTGGCATTTTTGTTATTTATTATTTTAATTGATAGAAATTGTTTAAATATTAATATAATAAATATTGCACACAATTCATAAATATCACGGATTTTACAAAGTTGATATACTAGATTTCACTCATGATTTAGCCCTCAGAAATTTGACAGTAACTCACCTTTATTTGCTCTTTAGTAACTAAAAATATAAATAAAGAATTATTATTTTAACGAGTACTTAAAGTGTTAGCCATAAGGGAACTTTTTCTTGAATTACAATCTGAATTTTTTAATTTCTCAAAATTTCTGAGGTCTAGCAATTGTAACAGTAACTTATCTTTATTTGGTCTATATTAACTAAAATATAATTAAAGCATCATTATTTAACAAGTGCTCAAAGTGTTGTCCATTATCCCCTAGTGTCTCAAAATATTTAAGAAAATGTAACAGTAACTTACCTTTATTTGGCATGTAGTTAACTAAAGATATGATCAAAAATTATTATTTTAACAAAGTAGTGCTCATTATTCTGTATGCTTAAGCAAACTTTTTCTTGAATTATGATGTGTACTTTTTAGTGGCAAAAAATTTCTGAGGTTTAAAAAATGTAACAGTAACTTACCTCTATTTAGTCTATAGTAACATGAAATGCACTAAAAGACTAAATATGGTGTTCTATAACAAAAAATATAACTTTTTTTGGGGTAACTCTGTGTATTTCAAAATAATTGTAATACATTTATGGCAATTTTTCTCTGATTTAGTCATTCTGAATTATTAAAACAAAAAATGGTCGATTTTTTTGTCCTGGTCTTTAAATTTTAAATGTTGTTTAGCTCAACTAGTTCCCCGCGATCTTTACCAATTTTGTTCGTGTGTCTTATCTTTTTTTTGCAATTTTAACTTTGGGAATCACTTACGCGATATTGTGTCAGTATTAGTCCGATCTCTGCAAAATGGTCGGTCCTTTAATGTAAAAAATAAATTAATTTAAAAAAATATATAAGTAAATCTTTTAGGTATTCGCACGAATTGCACTTCACCGACAACACGGTGCTAGCGAAAGACGCGAACACAAAGGATGACGATTGGTTCGAAATTTACGACCCCCGGAACCCGCTGAATAAGAGAAGAAGAGGGGAGCCCACCACGAAGAAATAGATATTTAAATGAAAACAGTACATACACTAAAATCTTTATTTACCTCTAAAAACTATAGCGCAACCTAAATTTCCTTCATATTTTCCTCGTTAGTTGTCGCATCGTTCGATTTGGGATCTTGATTCGAAGTCAATTCCATGTCTTCGATATTTTCGTTAATTATATTGTCTTTCTCGTCGCTTTGATCCTCCACATCGATATTACCTTCTTTTTCGTTTAAAACAGTTCCTTTTACCTGCCGATCGTCGCTTATCGATTCGTCCGGAACGCTCTTTCCCTGATCCATGAACGTTTCCGATACGGATCTCGAAGTGACATTTATTTCCAAATCTTCGTCGTCCAGAGTTTTGTCCTCTTCGAAGTTCTTCGAAAAATCGGACAACTCCGACGGGATACTCTCGGTGGTCTCCTCGAACAATATAGAAGGTAGGGTTTCCATCTTGGGAAGTTCCGGAGTGAGAGAGTAGTCGATCAGTTCGCTCTTGACGTTCTCGGTTTTTGGCATCGCGTAATATGGCGGCAGCTCGATAGTGTCGTCGGCGTCCGACTCCGATTCCTTCTGCAAGGAACAAGCGTTCTGTAAAGAATCAATATAAACTAGATGAGTGTGCTGTCTGTGTAAACGGCCACGCCCCTCGAAATACCGCCTAAAAAATACTGAAATATTCAAATTAAAAATTCTTATACCAGTTTTACGCTGACAATTGGTCAATGAAGTTGCCTCATGTTAATTTATTCTGGAAATAGAACTAGTATTCTATTTTCTGTCAACTTAGTAATAGGTTCTAAGAACTGCTGTGCTTCACTTAGACTTTTTAAGTGCCATTTAACCAACAAACCACAGACAATAGAATGCCTCAAGGCCCCATTTTTGGAGCCCTCCTTTTTATTATGTACATAAATAACGACACAACATTTACTAGCTCAAAAGAAGACAATAAAAGAAAAGCAAATAGTTTATTGGTGTCAAGTAACATGTGGCTAAGCAAAAATCTTTTCAAACGCCCAATTCCTCTTTCGTCAACTTCGTAAAATGGTGAGTTCTGAGTTATTCGAATCAACTTACTTTGTGGGCACTATCTCCTCCCTACGTCATGGAAATATTTAGAATGCCAAAAAAGGTACTAACGTCAATCGCAAATTTAAATTTTTATTTAATTTAAAATTGCCACAATCTTTTCAAATTTGAATCAACGAACATTTTAATTATAAACTGAAATTCTTTTGTGATTTAATGTTTTTTCTGTGGTATATACATATTAATCTATTTTTTATTCCTTTGTTCTGTTAGGTTATGTTCTGGATTCTTCTTGTGCGTTTGTTCTTTCAGAACCTAACTGAACTAGCTCGTATTATACTCTGAACTGCTGATTGACATTTGAGAGGTGCGGAGCTAAAGTAGGGACATTAACATTGTCTCCGATGACTGATTAGATGAGTCGGAACCAAAAATATCGCTAGGAAAGATGCGTGTGCCCATCAATGGGACGCAACAAAGGGCTGAGAAAAAAATGTAAAATGCAAACCAGTTTCGGCTCTGGTCACATGTCAGCAAGTTCAATTCATTACTAGGAAGAATCCAAGATTTGTAAATAGTATTACAGTAACGTCTGGAACGGTCTCTACAAAATCCCTGGTATATGTTATAAACCAATAAAACGCTATTTGTGTCAAGCATAATGTAAGTTTTTTATCACTCAGGCTCTAGATGTATCAGTTTAGTTCACTAAAAACCGGTACACCTAATTTGTCATGGTGTAAATAATCGTTTTTTATCTTTAGCATTAAATTTTAAAACACCACGGTGTCAATTATCGATAGCGCCTAAGAGTCAAACATTTAAAAAGGCCTAGTTTTTACCGATGCTTCTGGACTACTTGAGATATCGTCCCTTTGAAATCGCGCGTTTAATTGCATTAAATTGACAAAAGAAGAAAGGCCCTCGTATTAATGGTAGTCAATAATGAAAGAACTTTTCTATACTAGCGACCCCACTTTTAAATTCGGACGTTTTTCTGTCAATATGTGTATTTATTTAGAAAGAGAAAATGCTATTAAGGCCTGGTTTTAACATAATAATGTAATTTTTGCCTCAAAATTCTAATGAATTGAGTGATCAAGAAACAAGGCTTCAATGACCAAATATTAATTCTTATATACACTATTTTTATTTTCCTTGTTTAATACAATATTCAATATGTTCGCTTTTTTGTTTATAAAAAACCTACATAATATACACCGATGATGTGCATTTATTTAAACATTTGTCTCTGATTACCCCAAAGAAATAATTACAGAAGTCTGTTTCAAACGGCGTAATTAATACACTAATCAAGACTTTTTTGGCTTTTCAAAAATAGACTAGAATAGAGTTGAATTAACTGCCGGAGAAAAGTGGAACAAATTTCAAAATAGATTGCAGTGGCGTGGTTTCATTCCTTTTACTTCACGAAGTCATTGTCAGTGCAAAACTGTCAATGGGTGAAGAATTTTTTATTTTTCGTTCAACACTTACCAACGTTTTATATCCTTGGGAAGTCTGACGGGAAAACAAAATTTTAATTCACTTAATTTGAGGCGCCTACTACCACGCCAAATGGCTTATTAGCTGGATGTATATATACCGGATGTCATAGATGGTCATAGAAATTTGAAATATATTTTTTAAACTGGGTTTCTACCAGAAATTTCTAATGTTAACCATAGTTAGAATGAGTGCTATTTTAAAGACAAGTTCGAATCTTTTTTGTTTAATACTTTTTGCTCTATTGCTGCAAAATGCTTCACGCATTTTGATAAACTTGTAGTCGTTGAAAAGGCTATTAGTGGTATAGTCTGTCTCACTCTTCATCATGCTGGCTTTTGCTCGCCCGATAGCAATAATATTAGTGACCAGTAGGTATTAAAGGCCAGATTATTGACGGACTCTCAAAGCGTTTGGAACAAAATATAATTTCTTTTGTTTACTTACATAGGTATAACCTTATTAAATTGACTAAGAAAAAACAATGACATTAAATATATACAATCAACTCATAGCTAGGAATATCTATACATAATTAAATTTTTATTCCAAATGTCTAAATCCAATTCACTATCAGAGTCGTCACTAATTATAATAGGATTTATGTTGTTTTGTTTGGAAATGTAATAGTCTTCGATTTTTATAATGTGCTGAACTGAACTTTTCCAGTTCTTAAATGGTATGTTATTAATTATATTTTTTATCAAATTTATAAGAGTAGACCTTAAGGTAGGGGTAACATTTTCGGCTCTGGCCTTTTATTTTACTGAGTTCCACAAATTTCTATGGGGTTAAACAGCCTGTTCTTGAATCTGAATCTTTTGCGTCAAGCGACAAATGATTTCGACGAGATATTGTTATATTCTCGCAAAGTAACTTTTTCAAGGCACGACACTCAAGAAACTTATCAGAAAGAAAGAAATATACCTGGCTCACCGTTAGAGTTTTATTGGGGAGGATTCCTCCAAATTCAACACGATGAAGATTGAGATAGACTACACTATGAGTGTCGCGATTGCCGTTGGTTACTTTGCACCAAGTGGCGTTTTTAACCCCCTGAAAATAGTATATTAGGCAAACGGAGCTTATTTGACACGAGCGGAGCGAGTGTTTAATAAACGAGTGACTTAAAAAGTTTACCAAACGTGTTGCATACTATACTTTTTCTACGACCGTTAGTTTTTCGATACATAGTATATTACGCAACAAGTGCGTTAAACGGCATTTGACTCACGAATTTATTTGACAGGAGCGGAGCGAGTTTTTAATAAACGAGTGAGTTAAAAGGTTACCGAATTCGTTGCTATACTTTTTCTACGACCGTTGGTTTTTGGGTACATTTTCGCAAAACAACACGAAAACATTCACTGACATGACTGTCAGAATTGACAAACGACAAAATTCAAAGCGTGGGAAATATCTCCGAAAACATTCGATTGCTCCCATACCCGTGCGGTAAAATCCCGGAAATATCCGAAGTGGCTTGGATTCATGGGAAACGAAACTGACGTGGTAAAGTAACGCTTCCCGCACGCTAGATTGGTGGGTAATTAGGTATTTTACAGAGGGGAGTAAAAAAAAAGAATAAATGCAACGATATAACTAACCAATACAGTGAAAACCGCATCTCAATATCTGTATCCTATCCTAACATATGAATAAAAGAATAAGAACGCTCAAAAAGAAAAAATTGAATTTATCACTTTTTCGTTAAAAATTGCAATGTCAAATCGCATTTAAGGGATTTAATTTTATACATACTATTAAAAAGTCACTCTTATTAAGTGTAAAGTATGACCTTGCTTACCTTAAATGGCCTTGGGTCACTTTTAAAATAAAAAAAATGTTTTGTTACAAATATAGCTTGAAAAAGAGAAAAAAAACATTTAAATTATATTTTTATATAATAGAAATAAATTTAGTAACAAGTTATTCGTTAACATTCTCAGTATGCGGGAGTGATTTGAAGTAGTTATGGTGTTCGGGAGGTATATACCGCAAGAAGTCCATTATATGTCGGTATTTTAGTGATGTGATACTTCTTATACTTTTATATAACGATAGCAATACAATACTCCCAAATTTTTTAGCTCTACCATGACGTGATAATAAATCAAGAATTTTAAATTCTACGTTCTCATCCAAGGCTATTTTGTATAAAATTTTATATGGTTCACTTCTTAAAAATCGCATCCAGCATATTTGAAGCCAGTTTATTTTTTCTCCGTTGATATTTTTGGATCTTTTGTAAACTGCTTCTTCCAAGAGTCTTGTTGATATAAAATCCCTCTTGTTTCATTTCATTTCGTATGAAAGTATTACCATTTCTACATTTTTTAATTATATTATAATAATCTTGTGGCACATACAATAACTGATTTCTTTTTAACGACATTCCTAGAAAGCCAAAATCTTTGTTAGGAAAAAATGAATGATATTAGAAATTTGTGGTCTATGATTTCCACATCACTTCCCATCGATAGAATGTTTAACCACATTAAAGATATTTTGATGTTTCTGTTTTGTCCTCCACACATGTCACTATATGCAATGATGTGTTTTTCACTTTTCAGGGTTTTTAGGTGTCGCAAGAGGCATGAAGCCACTTCTTGGAAACCTCTAGAAGCTTTTGTTTCATCCCAAACGTACATGTAAACATTATCTTTGTGGAAATTGTGTATGCCTAAATTTAAAATATGTTACATTTATAATAAGCTATTGAAGTAGTTAACTTTGAGAATGGTAAAGCTTTCTGTAAATCGAATTGATCTTGTTTTAACACATTTCTAGCCTATTCTGCTAGCTCAAATGAATATCATGTTCTTCCATATGTTTTTTCTGTTCTTCGTGGTTTTCTGATGCTTTGACTTTAATGTTTAATAGATCACATCTTTGACATGTGTCTTTGCGTGGTTGGTGGAAATTTAGATGAATCCTTTTTGAATATTTTTCTATAAGTCCATTCATTAACTGTTTTAAAATTATTTTCTTCACAGTGAAGCTCATAAGAATTAAACATTTTTTTTATAGTCAGTTCAGGATGAAGATATTTTCTGTCGGGAATATGGTTCCCAGTATAATGGGATTCAAATTTCGGAAAACTGTTAATATGATTTTGAACAATCATATTTGCTTCATCACATATTTTTCTCAACAATCCAAGTAAACGCCCAAGTAAATCTTTGCTTATTTGAAAAGTATCTAAAAAGAATTTTTTGCAACTTTGCCTGTTTTAGAATTTAACCAATACATAAAACTCTCATTTCTACATGAACCTTTCCCATTTCTCTGACCTCTTCTTTTTCCAACACTGCGTCCGGTCGCTTCGTATAGCAAAATATTTTGCTTATTAAAGTCTCCTAAGTTCCGAAACATTTCGAAAATACGTTTTCTTTCTGTTTCATTTAAATTTTTCAAGCAGTCTTTTCGGCATTGGCAATCTTCATTTTGAAAAACTTTGGCAGGAATAATTTTTCTCGACTGTGTATCGTATCTTTTCCCTGAATTCCGTTTAACTTTACGAATTACTGAATATAAGTACCACTTCTATGTTCTCTGAATCCTTTTTTGAAGGCGCTGTTTTGTAAATTCCCATTCTCAATTACTTCCTCTTCCTCTGTTAAATTAAATATTATTCTTTAAATTTCAATTTAATATCAAAACCTTCATCACTGTTTTCAACATTTTGAGCCGCAGTGGACTTAGGTCACTTTCAAAATTGGGATTTTCTGTATATATATTATTTTGAAAATGTACGTGATATAAAATTTTCAAATGTACTAAGTATATTTCAATACCGATTTAATTTTTTTGACGATTCAATTAATCAAATTGGTTAGTTAGTCTTCAACCATTGATTAGTTTTGGTTATTTGACTATTTTTTAATACCAACAAGTGGTAATAAAAAAATTATTGAAAACATGTCAAAACGTAGAAATGTGCCGGCTACAGTGTAATTTGGTGCCCTTCGAAGGCATTGTAAAAACAATAATAAAGACTTTATCTCAAAATCCAACTTTTTTATAGCTTTAAGTTTCTGATGCATATTTTAGGTTAGGATAAAGGCGTGAGATGCGATTTTCATCAGGTTGTTGGCACTTATTTGACTATTTAATGATATAAAAAAGTCATATTTTTACCTTTTCTCTTTAATTTTTTTTTTGCGATTGTTAGGTACGGGAAGCAATCGCGTCACTCATACACCAAGATCGATAGCTCACGAAAAGCTTTTTTTACGACTCCAAGTTTATTGGCACGCGTCGAGTTTCTTTTAGAGATACAAACTCACTTTAGTTATGGTCAACAGTTTTTCAAATTTTTTCAAATTTCATGTATCTCGTTACCCTTAAGGGAACGCCCGGTCTATATTAACTTATAATATGAGAAAGTCACGTGATATATTACAACAATGTAACGCATTAAACTCACCCTTGGTTGGTTATACGACCTTATGGGCGGTACGTCCATGTGAAGGTGGCAAGTGCTGTCATCGAATATTGCCTCGACCGGCGTCGTACATTCGACGTCTCCGTTCATTTTCCCGCACGATTTGAACAATACCTGACTTTGGTCCTACGGATTTTACGACGATCAGCTATATTTGTTTCGAAAATCGAGTTGCGGTTACCTCTAATATATGCTTGCGACAATGCTTGGCCATCGGTATCGATTTGCCCACACATTTCACCCCGCCTTCGGTGAAGATACACTTCGAATGACCGCTGCTTTTTACGGTCAAACCATCAGAAATCTAAGACAATAACATTATAGAACAGAAACTAACATAAACGAAAATAAAAGGTTTCAAAGGAGTTTGGAACTGACAAGCTGATCTAAGTGCGGGAGGGAAACCACCTTACATGAGGAAATGCGAGGAAATATTGGGAAATATACAGTGCGTCCTCCGAAACTCTTATCAATTGAGAAAAATTTGAATTCTTAACTTTACGAAGAAAAGTGCCTCATCCTTGGCGAACAAATAAATTTGCACAATAATATTGATGTTGAACATACAAGATGGTTTCAATATATCTCCAAAAACTCTATCGATTTTACTTTGATGCCATCCAAGAATATTTTTTTTCAGAAATGAGGCGACAACCTACTAAACAGTAAAGAGCCTTGTTGCAAAATGTCAATTTGCAAAAATTTTGAAAACTGATTCACCAATTTTAAAAAAATGAGCAGCAAGTTCGATTCTATTTAAGATTTATACGCTATTCAATTCATTCAAAAGGGTCTGTTGCGAGATGTCCTCCTGACAAACGAAAGTTTTTTGATTTTGTCAAGAAGTGCTTGAATTATATGTCAAAAATGACGTTTCCCTGTGGAAAGGGCCTAATGTCATATATTGATATTTTGAATATAAATTAATACGGGTCGAGCAAAAATGAGGTACAAAAATAAAATTACAAAAAATACAAAAAGCGATTTTTTTCTAACTTTCATTTTTTTACTATTTTGATAATCTTATCGAATTTGACCTGAAAAATTAAGGTGACTTTGTGTAAGGGTGTCGGCAATTTATAGTTCTGGAATAATTGACAGTGTAACATTTTCTTATTTTTATTATTATTGTCGTGTTAGCGACTCTTTCAAATCTTATTTCCAAAAATTGTTTTATCGGGAATCCTTCCTTACGGATATTATCTCTTATACTCTCTTACGATTAAAGCGATTCTTTTATTTTTTTGAACATAAATTATATAATCTTTAGAAAAGAGTGAAGTCACGTAAAACTAGGTAAATAAAATTCATTTTTTTTATATATGTAAACAAAAATAATAGAAAATAAATCGAATTCACAGAAAAAAGAAAAAGTAATGAATATAAGTTAATCACCTATCTTATGGATTTGATCAATCAATAATTTCATTAATTTTCTACACTTTTAAAACAGCAATTTATTTTGTTTATAAATGAAATGTATATTAAAAGTCATTTAGATATTATTGAGAGAAACAATAGGTAAAAATAAGTTGAGTTGACAAAACTATTGACAGTATATGGTTGTTTTATCGGCCTGTCTTATAGTCCTTCCTATTGTCTAACTGCGCTTTCATTAAATATATTATTTGAACATTCTGCCGCGCTATCACAAACCAATCAATATTTTACGAGCACCCAATAAGGTCAACGGTTGAGTTACCGGGGAATGTTTAATTCCAACCAATCGCATTCTAGCTCATTTATCGCACAACCTGTATGATATACAAAAACGATATATGCAAAAATTGTAGGTCTCGACGCTGCCTAAACGGACGATAAAACCCAACGGCCTCGTTTCGCACAGTTTGTCAGTTACAACCAATGATCAATGTTCAGTTTTTTGCCCACACCTAGGACACCCTGTGTGTTTTTGGCTAAGCTATATTTTTGAGTTATTTTCCGGAATCTCGCGCGTCTTCTGGTTCAAGAATTTTTTCGATCCAAATTACCGTTTTCGGGAAAATCGTTTTTTTTTTTCAGTCCCGAGAAAAACATTTTCAAAATTTTTAAAAAAATACTTGACGACTTCGAAATTTCGAACAGTTACTTTACGCCATAGCAACTTGTCCGAACAAAAATCAATAATAGCCGACAAAATGGCCGCCGATGTCTGATCGGCTGCATACTTTGCAAGCCACTGCGCATCGCCTAGTATTAGTATGGAGGAAAATTTGAAGCTTGGAACTACGAGCTTCAAAATGTAATCGGACTTTGAGGAGTTCTCGAAGGTCCGACACGCGGGAACAGAGAACAGACAAAAACTTTTTTTTTTTTTACCAAGATCTTGTGTACTTTTAATAGCCACTTGGTATACCTTTATTTTATATAGCTCAGTTTCTCTTATTATGAAGTATCGAATAAAAGGAAATACGAAACATAAATATTTCCCCATAAGAACATAGTTTCTGCCCCCCCTTTAATATATACGATATTGCAATCTTCAGAAAATAATCGAAGATGTTTTACTTACTTTCGCACGTAAATCGTGCAGTTTCTTGCTGAGTATTGCCTCCTCTCCGTACGTCCGGTGATATTTGTTGTATTGTTTCAGTTTTTTGTAAAGTCTCTGCTCTTTCGGATTGTCGTGGACTTGATTAAAAATATTGCCTGGAATTATCAATAAAACTAATTATATAGCGTCACCCTTCGATAATAATAATTCGATTGGTTTCGCAACTCACAACAGGTTTCCTTTTCCCTCTTTAAGGAGTGGATGTACTTCCTCCTTTTTTCCTTCAGCAGATACTGCAAGTATCGATACTGTTCTATGTACAAGGATTGCAACCGGACCAACTTGTCGCGGGTGAGCAGGGAGATTTCTTCGGCCGTGTACACGTTTGCGTGTCTAAAAATTTTACCTCATTTTTAATTTTAACTAATTTTCGAATACTCACTTTAGGACATCCTCCTCTTCAGAATCTATGCTTTCATTATCAGAACTATCGGCGTTTGCATCGTGCCAAACGGTCGCGCAAGTAGATGCCTCTACATCGCTCTCCGAATCACTGCACAAGTCCAGCACTTCGTTACACTGGGCGTTGTGTATGGCGCTCGCATCGAGATCTTCTACAATAGATAATTTCTAGTCATCAACTTCTTATAAGAAAAAGGAAGATGTATATTAGACTAAAGCATAATGTTTACCAGACCTTATCATTATGAAAACTTAAATAAATTTAAAACATTAAAATCTTATTGTATAAGATCTTACAAATTTTTACAGGCCATTTTTATTATAACTTCTTAGAAGTTATGAAAATTATCCATAACCTCCATTCACCCACTTTGCTGAGAGAGCGGTTTACTCATAGGAGTACTATCCATTCTGTGAAAAATGTATTCCACCTGTGAGCCTCCAAGCATTCAATAACTTAATAAACGTTAAATGCATAAAGATAACGAATTAGAAAAAATATATAATATATATAAAAAAAAAGAATGCCAAACATGAAAAATTCAGGATTTGTTTGTTTTCAATGTCAAATTTAAAGTAATATTTGTTTGCTTTAAAATTTTATATTATTTTTTTATATAAATTATTATTTGTTATTATTATTATTATTATTAGAAATTTTTATTAGCTTCACTAGTAACTTTCTGCAGGGTAAACTTATGAAATGTGTTCCCGTACTACTTAAAGATTTTAGGTAGAATTTTCATTTTATTTTATTTTTGTAGATGTACTTTGAATGTGAACTATATTGTCTACTGAATAAACACAGATTATTGTTATTATAAAATCACTTACTAAAAAAAAGGGTACCACAAAAAATAAAAAAAACAAATTAACAAAACAGATTTTAACAAAAAGACATAAAGGCCAGTTTGTTTAAAAGAACTTGTTTTTTTATCAGGTCCTTTCTTTTCTTTATCTTTCTTCGTCCTCATGTTTTAAAATTTAAAATTTCAAAATAACAAAGAAAAATACAAGGGTAAGAAATTTCCGTAGATATAAAACTAAAACTGCTAAGGGAACAACCATATTTCTAGCATCATTAACACTTGGGTCAAAAAAAATAGAATAATTAAATTTTATATGGTTCTCGTCTCAATTATTTTTCTTTTTCTGGAGTCTACTTCCTTTTGGGTTCACATTGTTGGATCTCGCTTTTGTATTATAATATACACGAAGGTCACTTGAAAAGTTTCCGACTTAAAAATGATGCAAGGCATTCTTTCTCAATTGTTTCTTTCCTAATAGTCTCCTTGTAACTCTAAACACTCTTCCAGCGATGCTTCGATCTCTCTAATCCATCCAAATAGTACCCAGCCTTCTTCTAGATAACATAATTGTTCAGAAAGGTGATTGCCTCCTGATATGAGGAAAATCTTTGTCCTCCGAGCGCAGTTTTCAGATGAGGGAACAAAAAGAAGTCCCTTGGGACTAGATTTGGTGAGCAAAGCGGATGGTCAAGCATTTCAAACAGTAATTCCTAGATTTTCTTGGTTTCAGCGGAAAAAACAGTTTTTGCTTTTTTCGAAGTCAGTTCCCCTTTGCAGTCTGCAGTCTTGGCAGTATTTTTGATGGTGTATCCAAGTTTCGTTTAGAGCAATTAATCGGCGCCAAAACTCAAGTTTATTGCGCCTAAACTGCGCTAACAGAGAAAATATTGATTCTTGTCATTCAGCTTTGTCATGTCTAAACCTTGATTTAAAATATAGAGAACACTTTCTCCAGACATTTTCATAACCTCACTTTACTTCGACTGTCATTTAACACCATTTGAAGAACTTTAGAAATATTATCATCTGTAGTTACAATTTTTGAACTTTCTGAATGTTCATCATATCCTAAGCTCTTACGGATACATTTAAATTCAGCTGCGCAAAATTTCACGGTGGTAAATGATGGTGCAATCTTTATCTTTCAAAGACAAATTTTTTATAACAGCTCTATGCTAACTTTCTTCCATTGTCAAGAAAAACGACTCTCTATGAAGAGGTGCACAAGTTTGATCATTAACTTTTACTAACTAAAAACTTCATCTTCACAGTGAGGTCAGAAACTTTTCAAGTGACCCTAGTACATTATCGTTGTTTTCTGGTTTTTCAATAGTTTTTTAAAAATGGAAACATTTTTTCTATATTATCCCTTTGAAGGGTGAAATGTTATCCATTTTTTAATTACTAGTTACTGCTAAGACCAATAATAAATAAAAGGAAAAGAAATACATATAGTACTAGTGAAACTACATGGCTCCACTGGTTTCAGATAAAAGCAACTTACTGAACGGGTCTACACATTTAGTAGCTTTCAGTTCTCCAATTTCATCCTGAGAATTTCTTTCGGATTCGTCCATAAAACTCGAGGAAGATACATTTTTGCTTCTAGCCCTTTTGACATAATGAGCAAGAGAATGCAAAATGTGTTCTGCAGAGGGAGCAGACGGACACTTTGAATTCTGTCTGTTCCTCAAAAGGGTAGATTTTAGGGCATGTTCACTACAATATCTAAAATAATACGTTCAAATAATTGTTACATTTACGACGAATTATTATAAGTACCCATATTCTTTTTTGTCACCTTTGGGAGCTGGCAAATGACACCTCTTCCCACTGCTCTGGTAAATGTAGGTGCACTGTTTAAACGGAGCATTCTTATCACTTAAAATATGTTTCAGACAGTACTTATATCCCTCGATGGACAATTGGGTACATTCGTAAGAACCGTATGAGCATTTCTGCTTATTCTGCAGTTCCATAATAATTTCCGCGCGCAATACTGCTACCGCATCCTGCGCCGAGGACGCCTGCACTTTAGAGATAACCTGTTCGTGTTCCATTCTAATATTTGAGTAAATTTATATCGAAAATTAACAGCACAGAAGGATAAAAATTCCCACAGCTAATCTAATACTGCGTTTGTTTTGAAAATGGTTGAAAACATTGGTGTAGGGCATGTGATCGTCGTCCGAAGAGCCAATGGTTGCGCGCGTCGGAGGTTTCCCGGGTAATTTTTAAAACGGCCAGCCAATAACAAATGACAATGCGCGTTTCCGGAATGTGTCATCGGGTTCCATTGTTTTGGGTCAGTCGAGTGTTTGTTGTAATATTTTGTTTGATAGTTTAATTCGATAACTAGCTCACATTTAATGCAAAATCGCAATATTATTTTAAGCGTATCAAATATTTACTTACCTTGAGTGTGTAAAAAATGTTGTGTACGTAGTGCAATTGTATTGTCTAACGTGGTTGGTCGGCCATCGAATTGTGATTAACATCAAATTCTACGACTTCTGTATGTATTTCTGAAATTTATAAAATAATAGTCATCTTACCGCATAAAATCCGTTCAGTTGTAAAAATTAGCATAACGGCGACGAAAAGGGAAGGTTTTTTGCGTTTAATTTCACTTATTTGAGAAAACTAAGCTGATACGTAGAAGCACACAGTTCTCGGAAATCCCAAACTCGCGAAACGTTATAAAATCGTGCGATCTCCAATGCAAAATGGCAAATATCAGTTGACTTAACATTTCGTATTAGGTATATGTAATGGTTCTTAACCGAAGGAATATGATTCGATAAAAAAATTTCACTTTTCAATGATTTCCAATTCGGTTGGCGCCATCTGGTTCGCTGAATTTTCCTATTTATCGTGTCGTGTGGAGTGTCAATGGCTAACGCAGGTAACAGCGAGAAATGGTACTTCACGAAGGAACAATTGGAAAATACCCCGTCGAGAAAATGTGGATTCGAGGCATACAAAGAGCTCCAGTACAGGCAACAGGCTGCAAACTTTATACAGGACATGGGTCAAAGATTAAAAGTGTATCCTTTCTGGATGGATTTGGCATTTTTGTATGCAAAATGCTCATTCAAATCGTCTCGTCTAAGACTGATTTTCAGTAGCGAAACCCCGTAATTTGAGCCTGTAAGGTAACAGAAAAGTTGCGCAATTTTTAATAACCTCCGCTGCGTTCCCAAAATTTCTCTATTGATCAAGTACCAAACCTTGACCCCGAATGTTTTGCTTTACGTATTTTTGATAAGGAATCCCCGATTTCGGATCGTCTGATCGAGATAAAACTAATAAAACCGATTTTTTCTTTTAATTTCAGAAAAAAAATCGTTTTGTTTTAGGTTATTTTATACACTTCACCAAGTTCATGTGGTCATATTCTCGGAACAATTTTATTGGTTGATTTATCAAATGTTTGTATAGAAAAAAAAGTATTGTAAAAGTATAACAAAATAAACAAATAAATTATCTTTTGGATGTTTATATTTTTCTTCTTTTTATTTTCATTTTGTTCTTTTTTTTTTAGTTTCAAAAGTTTCGTGGCATTTTTTAAATAAAATTCTGTCCACTTTAGGTGATCCAAAGTAACAAAGTTCATGTTAGCTTGAAATAAAGGTCTTTTGGAAAGATTACATGCCTTGAACTAACTGTAAGCATTAATGCTGCATCTATATTTTGTTTCCTGCAAACTTAATTTGCAGTTATGTGTATCTAAGCATAGAAATTATAATAGTTGCGAAATAACTCATTTTCACAATATCTAAAGTTTTGGATACTGAAAGTAGTTGTCTTTCCCTTTAACTGATTTTTTTTTCTTCCACTTAGATAAGATTCATTATAGTTACCGAATTCCACTTTGATCTAATTTCTATACTCCATCGAATGGCAGGGCACATCAATTCACATATTTTTTTATGGTGTAAACTTGTGTGAAAAAAATACTGCTGGCTTTGGTTAGATTGTACTAGTTCATGTAGATGTTGTTGAGGACTGTATTAATTGTGAGCCCACGAAAAATCGTTTTTTCCAAATTCTTGTAAATTTCTAAGTATAAAATCCTTAGTTTCAAATTTTAAAATTGTGAAAAATTCCTTGGTTATCTTTATTATGCTCCTTTTAAGTATTTAGAATTTGGTGTTATTGACGAATGAATAGCTTCCATCGAAATTTATTCACAAAAATTATTTTAAAAGGAAACCAATAAACATATTAAGTAAAATGTTTAACAACAGTTTTTGTGAGCTACAATTAATAATAGAATGACCAGAAATACCTTTAAAAATTCGGTCAGTAACTTGGGAAAGAGATAAGGCACATGTTGCATTTTCCCTAATCAACTAAATGATTTCCTCATTTAGGATCATTTAAGGATAAATTGACTTGACGCAAAAATAATGTGGATTAATAAAATTACTGGCATTTTATCGGTACCAGATGAAGGTGATTAATGTCGCAAGTTGGTAACACACAATTTTGCAGGCCAGGTTGAATTATAAAGTTGCATATAATGATAATGTTATCTTAAACTGGATATATTTTTTTTATTTAAAACATATTAATTGCATAGTAAAATCGTCTCTCAAGTAGTACTGAAAAGAAGTCTGGAAAGCGCTCTGGAAAATACTTTTTATTACTACTTTTAGTGTTGTTCACAAATGAAAACCTACCCTATATTATGATTATATAATATTTGATACTTTTTTTAATCTCCAAGAAGATTGAAAAAGACATCCGCAAATTCTAAAGCTTTTAATTTTTTTTGTAAATTGGGAATAGACGAGCACCAAGAAAACCCTTTAAAGTTTTCAAATAAAACTTAATCGATTTTTTTATAGATCTAGATCCTAATGATTAGTTGATTAGTCTATTACTTATTGTAATGGCATCTTCAAATTTTTTCCAAATTTCGACAAATTTGTAAGAGATAAAATTCCTAGTTTCATTTGTAAAATTGTTAAAAATTCAGCTTCCTTTATGTAAAGGCAAATGACTACTTTATTAAGCTCCTTTTAAATATTAAAAATTTTGATGTTATTGACAATCCAAATTACAAAAATTATTTTTAAATTAAACCCATAGAAAAATGTTAACAAGTTACAATTAATAATTTTGTCTACTAGTTGTAGACCAGAAATACTGCCAAAAATTGACTTAAGTATTAAAAAAAATATACATATCGGAAGGTACATGTTGCATTTTCCCTAATCAACTAAATTGGGATACAGAAATGTTTCCCTTATTTAGGAACATTTAAGGATAAACCGACATGACCGTTGCAAAAAAAAGCCTGTTAAAAAAACACTATTATTTTACCTATAATACATGGCGCAATTTTACAGGACAGGCTCAATTGCCAAGTTGCACATAATGATAATCTAAGCGTAAACTGGATATATTTTTTATTTGAAACATTATTCAATATAAAATTGTCTCTTAGTACTGACAAGAAATCTTAGTCATATACAAATGGACTCCCACTTGTTAAAATGCCTTTAGTATTTTTTCAAATTAAGTGTTATATCATCATTAGATTAATATAATTGGAACTTTTGTTACTCCCCAAAGAGTGTTCCCACTAGTACTGACAAGAAGTCTTAGTGAGTGTTATTAAGCAAACAGACCCTTTGCTTTTTATAGTCAAGACTTTTTAAAATGCCTATAGCATAGTTCTCAAATTAAGTGTTATATTATTATAACTGGTACTTTTGTTACTATCGAAAGAGTGTTCCCAGCGAAAACTACATCGTCATATTGTGATTGTAAAGTGAGACAAAAAACATTATAAAATCCGAAAGCTGTTAATTTTTTTTGACTAGGAAACCTTATAAAGCCTTTGAATAAAACTGATTTTTCTGACAGACCTAGATCGTAATATTGCTCTATTTTCGTCTTGTTCATTTCGACTTCTCTAGTGCGTTTAAGTATTATTTATACTATCCAAAGAGTGTTCTCAGCGAAAACCAAATTGTAATGTTGTGACTCTAAAAAGAGAGAAAAAAAGTCATAAAATTCGAAAGCTTTTGAATTTTTGGAGTAGTAATTGCCTAATGTATGTTCTCAAAATTGGGAATACCGGAGCATCCAGAAAAAAACCTTTAAATAAAATAGATCTTGATAAGTAATATTATTCTCTTTTCTGGTTGTTGATTACGACTTCTCTAGAGCGTGTTGGGTATAAATAAGATGCTATATTTTAGTAATAGATGCGGACTCATAAGCAAACCCTTTCATTTAGTCTTTATATTTATTAATTTTGGTTTTAATTGTCGTTGCTGCTACCTAACAGGCTCGATTGATCACCGGGTTCGTTTCTAGACATAATGCTGCAGATTGTTGCGGATTTGTTTGCACTTTTTTTAGCATCTCCACGGTTATCGATCAAACATCGTTATTTCCTCCCTCGTTTTTCCTTGACCATATAGCTCAGATCGCAATTATGCATCAACACGGCGATCGTCTATATGCACCGTTTCTACGTGTTCCATTCGTTTACCAACTTTCCGTGGCACCAGATGGCGGCCGCCGCCCTTTTCTTGGCCGCCAAAGTCGAAGAACAGCCGAGGAAGTTGGAGTACGTGATAAGAGTCGCGAACATTTGCAGAAACTCCAGGGACAATAACATCGACTTGAACTCTGAGAGGTAATTCGATTTCTTGTTAAACTAAAAAACACTTTTAGCCCATATTATCCCAAGAATAAGAAAATTATATATATATATATATATATATATATATATATATATATATATATATATATATATATATATATATATATATATATATATATATATGTATTGCTCTGAAATTATTTATTTTGTTGCACTTAAGAATAAAACACATTTGTCAAAAAAAAAATAAAAACTCGAAACATACAAACAAATACTGGTGCGTAAACGAAAAAAAACATTAAATAATGTTTTGGTGCACATAAGATGTAACATTCATACATAAATATACAAAAAAAAGTTCAAATTCGACAGAAAACAACTAAAAGTAGATTGTTTTCCAAATAGAACCTGATTTGATACAAAAAAAAAACGGTTTCATTTTTGGTCATATTTTACACAGCATGAAGTAAATTGTGTGGCTGTGGCAGATTCTACATCTCCTTCGGGCTTTATAAGCATGGAAAATCATGAGGTGACCTTGATTATCATAACGCACTTCATCTATGGCAGGTGCAAGATTTCTTTGAGTAATTGTTCTATCAGTTTTTAAAAGTCGCAAAGCAATGTAAGATGTAAAATCAAATCAGCCACTTCGTCATCAAAAAACATAAAAATATTAAACTACGCTTGATATATATCAAGCGCAATTTTTCCAGAAAGCCCATTTTTTAGTTCCTCACATGATCGAAATTCATCGGATATAGGTGTGAGTGTACTCAATCTGACCTTTCTTCCATTTGACAGTAGATGCAAGCCTGTCGTTTGCAGAAAGCATACGTCTTCTTTTGAATTCTAAGGTTTCATCATTTGATGAGTCCCATTCAGGTTCAGTAGTTGATGAATTACGGGACTGTCGAAGGACAGCTGTATCATTCGGTGTATGTAACTCGAAAGTTCCAACTATATCAGTTGGTTTGGTTGGTTGGGTTCATATCTTCTTCGTCAGTCAAGGTATCCATGTCGGGAATAGAATGCTACAATACATAATAATACGTAAATCCAAATAATACTTACGACTTTCATTGTTATTGTCCTCATCCATCACGATCTCCTCCATAGCCGCCTCTAATTCATTTTGAATCAATTACCTCGGAAATGCATTTTACGAAGTGTAACGTTCACTGCGCAAGGCACAAACTAATACTAAAGAACACGCTAAATGTTGGATGTTTATTCTACATGCGCTGACTTGTCTAGACTTACAATAACAAAGTTTTGTTTCATAGATAAAACCTGTGGTGCATTCACGCACCAGTATATATTTTCAAAAAATAAAGCGTAATCAATATCAATGTATGTTTTCTGCGATGTAATCTACGTGCTATAGAATTAACAAAAATGGCAATACAAATTCAAAATATTTTTTTTACTATTTTGGATTTACTTGAAAATGTGATACAAATTTATGTACCGCTTTTGTTAACATATATAAAATCTTTCCTTTACACATAAATTAGCTGTTTCTACGGTTTTATATCCGTTAGTAGTGATAATAATAAAATGTGACAAAAAAAACATCATTTTTTCATCACAATTTCGTGGGCCAAAAAAAGAAAAGTTTTAAATCTAGGTCTCTAAATGTTTCGTTTCCCAGATTTTTTAGGTGTTAGTGTTAATTTTTTAAACCACTCCAGAGTCGAAAATCTGTGTCGCTTTACGTCATCATGTTCTTTAAAAAGTGTGCTAATAATGTACTAATCTCAAGATCATGTTTGCCGTATTTTGGACTTAATAGACTAATATAGAAAATCCAATATTTTCCCAAATTTCTCTGAATCCCATCCTTATATTGGACATTCTGTATGATTTTTTAATTGTCTTGAACCTTTAGAATTATTTTTACTTAAATTTAAGTCTTTGGCATGTGTAGAACATGGTTTGATATTCAATGATTGTCACAGTCAACAAATCAATGCATCTTTTTTCAGTAGCCAGATTATAGGACCCGGAGCAAATTCCATTAAAGCTGAAAATTGATAGAGTGTAGTTCTTGGTGTACTATTTAACATATTAAAAGTCCCTCACCCCTACAAGGGTTGCAAAGTGAGCAAAAAACATCCCAAAGGTACATTTTTTCAGTAGAAAACTATTTAAATGAGGTGAATATAGAGACTTTGGACTCACGTCCACGCAGTCCTGCTCTTAACCCGGTAGAACTTCTATATGATAGCTGACTTAAAGATCCACTCCCACCTGCCTCCTTGAAGGATGTAGAAAACATTATCAGAGAAATATGGACTTTTTATTTATTAGTTAATTTTGATACAAAGCGTATAATATTTTTAATACCGACAGTTTATTAGTTAATATCCGAAAAAAACGATCTTTTATGTTGAACACCCTGCCTATTTTTAAGTCATTAACAATATATTTTTTTGTGTCTTTTGACTTTGAATTTTGGTCGAGCAGTACTGACATCTAAAAATAATTTAGGAGCGCATATTTTTAACCTACAGTAGCCTTTGTGTAACGCTGGTCCCTTTCCGTGTCACTTGTTTATCCTTTTTTTCTTATGGTCCTCGGATTTTTATTGTCAGTCAGAATGTGTTACTGTTTTTGCCTTTCTAAAAAATATGGCGTCTTTGATGTTTTGCTCTAGGCTTATTTAGACCATAAATGATTAAAAAAAAACACTTACATGCCACGCGGTGCCAAGATTTTTTGAAAATTATTTAAAAAATATGCCATAACCTAGCGTCATTACAATCAACGCTACAGTTTGGCAACTGCGCATTAGTTTTAAGGCTGCTTGTGGAAAGTTCGAAATGTCTACTTCTCCGTAAAAATTTTAGGTACATAGCCCAATCGCAAGACTTGGTGTTTAACGAAAATGTTTTGCTGCAAACGTTGGGGTTCGACGTCGCCATCGACCATCCGCACACCCACGTGGTACGGTGTTGCCATTTAGTCAGGGCGAGTAAAGATCTGGCTCAGACTTCGTATTTTATGGCCAGCAATAGGTGAGTGATGTTTGCAGTAAAATGATAGGCCACTGCGTCTAAACGATAATATTTATTTGTAAGAAATCACTTACTTAGTTTCCTTAATTAAAAAAAAAAGTTTAAAGATTAATATTTTTTCTATTTTCGTAGCATTTATTAGTTTGTTGTCTTGTGCCTTATGTATGATTAACTGTTGTTAGTGTTGCTTTACACTTATATTGTCATACTTATAAGCTATAGCAAAATAGGTGATCTGAATCTAACACCTCCACTATTTCGTACAGTTCTTCTATGGGGCAGGCTTTACAATGTTAAAAACAATTCTTGTACTAGGCCTATCCTCTAATAACTTCTAATAAATTAAATTTATGTATTAATATGTTTTATTCTTGTTCATTTGATTATAAATATTAACAATCAGCAGTTACATTACATTATTAATAATTAAGTTTCTAGAACCTTAGGGGTTTTAATTTGAAATTTATGTAATATGCATGTAAGTGTTTTTTTTTTAATTTTCTGTATAACTCCACTGAAGTTCAATTCTAGCTGGCTTGCAAAGTTACATACTAAACTTTAATTTTATAGATTGCGAGTAGTCTCGATAATTAGGTTGTCATTTTATATCTGAGAAAACTTGTAAGTAAATGAAAACATTAAAACAATATTCTATAATATCACATACTAAGAAAGAAACTTGCGTAGAGTAAAAAAAAAAACGATTTTTTTTCAGTTACTGTCATTTAATAACTATTGTTTTAACCTAGTTGTAAGTCGTTTTTTAAAAATGTTTTTCAATTATTATCCCAGGTACCCGATCCCCTCACTACATCAGCATTTCAATGAACTATTGCCTATGGTCAAATTGTCAGAGTTGTAAAGTATATCCATTGAGCCATTTTTTTTACATCTGAAAGATTTTTGCTATTCAGAGATTGTTGAAGACCAGGAGTTAATATATATAAGAAAGAGTGTGGGTCCCAAGATCGAACCCTCGGGTACACCACCCCCTATTTCTCTCAAATAACTCCTATATTTATTTATATAAACATAAAGTTAACCACTTATTAAAGCAGTTCAAAGTTTTACCTCCTATTCCACCTATATTTTCAGCTCTATTGTTAGAATTGTGATTATATATATATTATTTGTAGCATCCATTTTTTAAATTTCTCAACTCTTAATTTCTTTACGTAACAGTTTGAGTTTCGTTTCATTCATGCTTAAACGCATCGTTTTGTATCATACCAATCTATATACAGCTTTTATAATTTTCCTTTTTTAACTTGCGCATTGAGTAATGCTAGAATGTGCCTCCAAAATAGGTTGTCTCCCGTGTAAACAAGTGTTCTATCGAATTTATCTGTGTTTCCTGCAGTAGTTATAAAACTAAGTTACAAAATACAAATACAAATTATTATTGTCACAGGTCATAATTTTTTGATTAATTTAATTGTATTAATCTCACTGTCTATAGGGAATCTTTTATAGTATAGAAAGATTTTTTTATCAAATTAATAAAATAAAACTTTAATTTTTAATTTGAATTGTGTACTATTATTCGGCAACTTATTGAACAGTTTGGCAACAAAATAGTGTAGAAGAATTTGAGAAACTCAGTCACAAAATTGCAATATTCATTAAGGCAAAGTACAAGTAGGGTCTGGAGTATGGTGGGAAAATGTAATTCCCTAGAGGAACATCATGTTCGTAATTACATGATAAATAGTTAAATTAAACAAATTTGGCACATTTGTAGATAAAATGCAAACCACATTCGTTTTTTGGTAATCTGCAATAATTAATGTTTAAATACGCAAAACAAGAAAAAAATACTCCCGCCTATGAAACACGTCTCGATTTGTTTACATTACACGTGAAATAACGGCATTTTGGCTTTTAGTAAAGTGGCCATCCAAAAAACTCGTTTTCACCTTCAAAACGTCACCTGTCTCACAAAAGATAAGCCAAAGCGGACGCAGTAGGATTAAAAATTGACTTACATTGACGAAAGCGTTGTCTCATTAAAAGAAGGAAATTTCTGATAAACTATAATGCTATTGCCAAAGAAAGAACTATAGATATTAGCACAAGACGCGAATAAATACAAATTTTATTCTGTTTACTACTTTTCGTTAAAAATCCCCGGCCATGTGCAGCACTAGCAACATTGTCTCAGTCCGTCAACATATTTGCGTCCCACTAAACGCTTAATCTATGGTATATTTCATTAATCGTGTTGGTTAATTATTGTTATATCTGAATTGTTTGTGTTTTTTTCTTTTCGGAGCTTTAGTCATAGAATAGTACCTTGTTTAATTCGCAATAATAATAATTAATTATAACTACTATTTATTATTATTATTATCATCATTATTATTAGCTTGCACCTAACGACTATGTGCATCCAGTACAAGCCGACGGTGGTAGCGTGTTTTTGCATTTTGCTCGCGTGCAAGTGGTCCAACTGGGAGATCCCATTGTCGAATGAAAAAAAAGAATGGTACTCGTACGTGGATCCGAGCGTCACCGCCGAACTTTTAGAACAACTCACCCAGGAGTTCCTAGTGATATTCGAGAATTGCCCCTCAAGACTGAAAGAGAAGATCATGGCGCTGATGGCCATATCGGATACTAACGCTCATACGCCCTCGAGCCAGTCCAATTCGCCATTCGTAAGTTTCTTATTAGGTCCATTTTTATATTTTAAAATGCATGTTAAAGTAAAAAAGTTGAAATTTGAAAACACGGGATGGTAAATGGCACTGGACCCATTAAAACGAGATTACTCAAGTTAAGACAAAAAACGTGATACCTAAGCGGTCATTATATATAAATATATCTTTCTAATAGCATACAATGTATATACAGACAATGTAAACAAATTAGAATAATACCAAAAATGATAATTATTATTCTCACTCCACAGTCACAGCAATCGAAGTTATTATTAATGCCTGAAATTTGTTTTCTTGACAATGTAAACACACAAATATATATATATATATATATATATATATATATATATATATATATATATATATATATATATATATATATATATATATATATTCTTCAATTTCTCTTGGGTATTCAGTCTCTCGAAAACAATTAATGTGATTCTTCTAAATATTTATTAACGTTTCGATCGTAATTTCGATCTTTTTCAAAATATTCTTCTTTTTGTATAGGTGACATATATAACAATTAATGACATTTGACGTTGTGTTAATATATTAAAAATAAAAATAATTTGTCAGGGAATATTTTAATATATATTTATAATTTAATTTTGTTAGTTTAAAATTGAATGATATATTTTGTTAAAGTTTTTAGAATCGGTTTTGTAATTAATTGAATTTTTGTTTTTTTTTTTTTGGATTTTTATACTTTCATAAAGTTCTCTTTTTTGGTATTAGGTTCTGTTTGTAGGACTTTAACTTTTTGAAAATTAAATGTGTGTTTGGTGTTTTCGCATATATATATATATATATATATATATATATATATATATATATATATATATATATATATATATATATATATATATATATATATATATATATATATATATATATATATATATATATATATATATATATATATATATATATATATATATATATATATATATGATAACACTATATTCCGGGATATCATCTGTTCGCTCGTTGAACTCCGACTGGAATCCTGCATCCGACTGGAATCCTGCAAATCTTGCATCCGACTGGAATCCTGCAGACGTTTCGCCAAAATCTCACTTGGCATCTTCAATGCTCGCGCTCCGAAAACACTTCGAACACTCGGAGCGCGAGCATTGAAGATGCCAAGTGAGATTTTGGCGAAACGTCTGCAGGATTCCAGTCGGATGCAAGATTTGCAGGATTCCAGTCGGATGCAGGATTCCAGTCGGAGTTCAACGAGCGAACGGATGATATCCCGGAATATAGTGTTATCACATTTTTCCATCCGTGAATCAATACGTGAGATATATATATATATATATATATATATATATATATATATATATATATATATATATATATATATATATATATATATATATATTAACAACATTAACAAAACTGTTTCTACAAGGAATCAAAAGCGAATTAATTACAATACCAAACATGAGGGCTTATAATCGCATTAAAAACAAGATGTCTGCTCCAGTGGCTAAGCTCAGGCGAAAGTCTACGCAAGAAACCTATCTTTTTTCCAATTTTTTTACAAATGTAATCATGTTGTGAGAAATTTAATTGAGAATCTGGAACTACTCCCAGATACTTCATTTTTGAAATTTTCTTTACTCCCAAATACCATATATGCTGTTTTATTTAAATTTAACTTGAGTTTATTTACGCACAACCAGTCACTAAGTAACCTTAATTCCTAGCTCATATTGTGTGACACTTAAGTAATTTTTCCCAGGAATTGATAGCAAAGTGTCATCCGCGAAATGGTTGACAAAACAATTTTTCAAAAATTTGTCTAAATCGTTCACATATAAAATAAAAAGAAAAGGTCCTAATACACTGCCTTGGGGCACACCAACTTATCAGACACCACGTTATTAATCCTTTTTACATGGAATCTGTCACAAAGATAGATAATCAACTATCCACATAAGCACGTTCCCTCTGATTCCATATGGAAACAGTTTATCCGTTTTTTTGGCGTATCTTCCGAAGGAATGGGAAATTTTTAGTTTTCTCAATAGCACCTTAAAAACCTTTAAACTTAACCCTTTTTTGCAACTTTTTTTTAATTTAACCTCATGATAGACGTCCTCATCTTGGACAGACTGTCTAAACAGCGATAGGATTCGGGTAGCGCATTCAACTACTTGAAAATTGGTGTTGTAAAACAAGTTGGATTGGTTTTGACGAACGATCTTCAAAATACTGTCGGTTTCGAGCGTCGTAATACCAGAGATCAGTCCTTCCCCAATATTACATTTAAAAACGCAATAGTATATCTCGTTCAGCCGTTCCCAGGCACGGGATACCTGGAACTTCGCCTCCGCAAAAATATTTCAGATTCCATGGCACAAAATCGCCCTCGAGCAGAATCTGCCTCCAGTGAAATTGTACAGAGGGATTATTCCAATTATTCCAATGGTCGCAAAGGCTCTTTGAAGATCAATGAACACAGTTAAAACTATATTACCGTCATGAATGTTAGCCATCCATTTTGAGCACACATATTGTTAAGACGATCCACACAAGTGTTTCTCCCGAAATCGAGACTGAAAATTAGTTTATTCTGTCTATAACCGATAACAAATTAATCGGCCCGTATTCTCCAGTTTACTCGGAACTGGTCCTTTAGGTAGAATAACGCTTGATCTCTTTGGGAATGTTTCCTGTCTTAAGTGAAGTATTTATTAAATACAACAATGGATATCCGATTGCACAAAAATAATTTTTCTGTTGATTTATTTTTCAATTTAATTACAATTCTTCTTAGTTGATGTAGTGTCATGTACAATGTTTAATAAATGAGATTACTAAATGCACAAGAATATCTCTATTTTCCAGGATTCGGATCCGAAAAAGGTCGAAGGGTCCGCCCACAAAGCCCTGGAATATAAAGGTATATGTCGTGCCGGTGACTCGAATCTCCACTCAAAGAGGCGGGATAATTTCAGGTCAAGACGATCTGCATAAACACAGGTCGTCTAAACCGCACGACGCTTCCGGTAGCAGGCAGTCGCGCGAGCAAAAGGAACGCGAGAGCAAAGAGAGACGGGAACGGGAAAGGTTCGCCCTGATGAGCGGCAAATCGATCCTCCATCACGCCCAACCGTTGCCCGATCCCAAACTCAAATCTCACTCTCGCGTCCCGCCTTCGTATCCACATCCCCAAGTTAACAGGGAACCGAGGGACATCCTGCGGGAGGCCTCCAAGGATTCCCCGTTCGGGTTGGCCAGTGTGCGCGAAGTGAAACGCGACGTCGCGCCGAAACCTAACCTCCAAACCGAACAGAACAGTTTAAGTAATTTCGGTGGCGGGGGGGAAAGGCAAAGGCCGAAGCTCGACCCCGCGAAAATCATACCCAAGCAACAGCAGCAGCAGCAACCCCACGTCAAACCGGAGCCCTCGGGCTTCGACCAGAACCACGTGTACATAAAGTCTTCGAGTTCTACCTCACAGAAAGTCAAGTCGCCTTTCGCCGATTCCAAGTCCGTCCTTAAAGCCGCCGCTCAAGCCTCCAAAACGCACTATAACGGAGACGGGGGCGGCGCGAACCCCAAACAGCCCCTCCTAGAAGACGTTAAAGTTATTAAGGAGGAGGTTCCCATTCCGAGCGTGATAAAGAGGCCGAGTCTCTTTTCTCCCGAGGCGACTCCTCCTCAGAGCAACGTACCGGCGTTGTCGCCCATAAAGTCGCCATCTAGCGAGCGAGTAAGGAACTACTCGAGCAGCTCGGAGGCGGAGCTAAGGCCGACGATGAAGAAGATCGACCAGGTCGAAGGGTTCGAGAATCTGATGCGGGACAGCACGATAGGGATGAACGACATCCACAACGAAGGGTCCGAGATGGCTTCCAAGGAGGTTACGGAGGGAAACAAAGGAGGAGAACCGTTATCTTCTCCGGTGGAGTTTGCTGTGGTTCAACCCCACGTCGCTCCTCCCGCTATACGGTAAGAATGGTCGAAAAACAATTATAAAATCATCCAAAATATAGTGAAAATGTGAGCCCTTAATATTAATCTTTTTTTTTGTCGATTGGTGGAAACATTGAGGTAAAAACATTTATCCGGATATATTTTCAACAAATCAAGCTTTAAATTTTAACGAGTTTTTTCGATTTGACTTTTTCATTTTGAAATGTTGTAACAAACAACTCGATATGCAAAAAGGAACGATGTCGATTGAGTTTAATGCTCTCTAACGTCGAAAAAAAAGAACGTTTTTGATATTTTGTTTGTTCTCTGTTCCTCGGTAGACGCGACATTAAATGGCCCTTAACTTTCGAGCGGTTTGACCTACAGCGTTCAAATTTCGCTCTGTTTAAACAGTCCACGAGACACGTGACCCAATAAAAAATTGCTTTCATCGGAACTCTGAAAGGTGGACTTTCTTTTTCGATTTTCACTGTTTTTTGGACATTGCTACGAAACAAATAATTAAAAATAAAATAAAACCGCATTCGATGATTTCTCAATCATGTATGTATGCTGTCAGAAAATGAACGGGGTTGTGCCGTCATTCGCAAAAAAAGAAAAACGAAAATTGAGTTCATGTTTTTCACCGTAACACTATAATTCAATTGAAGTGGAACCCAATCGAATCTCAAAAGTGTTTTTCAAAATTAACAAAAAAAAAATTTTTTAGGTTATTTTGGTTAGGTTTTTTTTATTTTTATCGAAAATCGTTTACTGTATTGGAAAAATTTATGGAGCAGGAACTAACTGTAACTAACTCGCTTCTGCCATTTTCCGTTTATGTACAGGATGTGTGGCCTGGAAGTGGCCGATTTCGTTTGTAAATTATTACCCGTAAATAAAAAAATTGTAAAAGATTATATTTAATCGTAAACTGTATCGAGAGCTACAATTTTCGTATTTATATTTTTAGCTTGACACACAGGTGGCGCAAAATATTTGAAAAAATATCACTGGGAATCGCACGATTGAACTAAAAGAAAAAATTTAATCAATTGTTTAATCAATTTATTTAATAATTTAGTAATAAATTAATTTATTTTTTTGTATATTTATAACCAAAGGATGGATGGTTGGTTTTATGTGACACAAATTTGAAATTTCAAACTAAACCAAAACTAACTTCTAAATAAGTAACATATAAGAAGGTGTTCCAAAAACTAAGCATATATCTTAAATTTTTTTAGGCATAGGTCATGGAAAATGTTGTTTTCCTAATTTTAATTTCTACCCCCTCTTCCTTTTATTATGACACATGTTAACCCAACATATGATAATTATAAGAATGACGTTTCAAAATTATGAAACCCATAAAAGCTCTTTCAAAAATGCAAATTTTCCAAATTTACCTTATATAGTATTAATAAGTGTTAGTATTGTTATCTTTTTTAATCTATAATAAATAAATTAATAAATATTGGAATGACAAGCCAACTTTTAGAAAATCGTATGAATGGACGTAGCCAAACTAACATAAACACGAAAATTTAACGGATTCATTTAGTTTTAAAGAAACTAAAATTATAACACAAGATAATTATCAAAAATTGGCAATAAAATAAATTATATTAGTAACTTTAGTCAGTTACAATATTGTAATAACATAATCAAAATTAAAAATCAAATCAACTCTTTTATAATAATAATTTAATGTTGAACATTCAAAAACAATTAAATAAACTCTTTGCAACAAATAATAACCATAAACATCAAAGTGAAAATATTTTTATATAACAATGTGTATTAAAAATAACACTAAGGATGTTAACATTTTTATATGAAATATTTCATTTATATGTATTTTGAATGTTGAATTAAAAAAGCATAACAATTGCACAAACTCAATTCAAAAACGACTCAAGCATTATATAAATAAATAAATAAATTTTCACAGTGTGGAACACTGCTCGACTGTTCCGCAACAAACAGCCATCGTTAACGGTTTAGAGACGAACCCGACTCTAATAAGCAACCTGCTCAAGCAGGCACCTACCGTTAACAATAGTCTGTTGTCGGCGGAACAGCCTGCGGCCGAACACAAGGAAAAACATTCGCACCACAAGAGCAAAAAGAAGAAGGAGAAGCACAAGCACAAGGACCGTAGCAAAGAGGACAAAGAGAAAAAGAAGAAGCATAAGGACAAGGATCGTGAGAAGCACAAGCAGAGGGAGAAAAAGGACGGCGCCGTCGAGCCTCCGCAGTTGAGCGAACCGATCAAGATAAAGATTCAGAAGGATAAGATACAGCCCTTATCGGACGGTATCAAGATCAAAATTCCCAAAGACAAAATTAGGACCGAAGGGATCGTGGATCCGTTACCCCAGCCAAGTTCCGGAGGTGAGACGATCTGTTTTTATTTCGAGGTTAAATGATATTTTTCAAATTTTTCTCGACGACTTGGGGCTTTTATTTTTAGTTGTAATAGAGAACAACAAAAAAAAAAACAAAAAGAACACAGCCCCTTATTCGTTCTTATGGTTGTAATTTGTAGTTTATTACTACCTTTTTTATTATAATCATACAATTTTATAAATTTGTTTACACTGTTCTAATTCATGGACATATCTTATGGGATGCAGTGAGAGTTATGAGAGCAGTTTTTACGAAATTATTCACATTTACATCTATAAAAAGAGAATAATTTATATATTTAGTTTTTTTTTTAATAAAAAATGGTGGATTACAAAATTCAAAATACAAAAAAGCCTAAAGAAATAAACAAAAACAAATAGAACGCGGAAACAGTCTAACAGTACTAGTTAAAAGCCAATATTGCCCTAGTTAATGGACTATTCAGCGCCTTATTCGTTCTTATGTATAAAATTTGTAGTTTATTACTACTCTTTTTTATTGTAATCATACAATTTTATAAATTTGTTTACACTGTTGTAATTTAAGGACATATCTTTTGGGATGCGGTGAGAGTTGTGAGAGCAGTTTTTAAGAAATTATTCACATTCATATCTATAAAAAGAGAATAATTTATATATTTAGTTTTTTTTAACAAAAAACGGTGGATTACAAAATTCAGAACACGAAAAAGCCTAAAGAAATAAACAAAAACAAAAAGAACACGGAAACAGTCTAACAGTACTAGTTAAAAGCCAATTACAAGCCTAGTTAATGGATTATTCACCGCTTTATTCGTTCTTATGTTTGTAATTTGTAGTCTATTACTACCTTTTTTATTATAATCATAGAATTTTTGGGTGCCAATATTGTTGTAAATTTGAATTAAATAAATGACACTCTGTGCGCCGCACATTAGGTCAAATTGACGGTCTAGAGTTATACAACTAAAATAATTACATGTGATAATAAAATAATTAAAAAATTAAAGACAATTTTCCTTTTGTCAGTTGTTTGACAAAACAATAGCTAAAAATATTAACCTATTTACATACATTAGTTTTTTTAAGCTTTTCATTAAAGGGCTACAAATGAGGTTTGTCAAAAAAATTTCCAAAAAAAAAGAAAAATGGCGCTTTAGAATTCAAAAATTGTTTGAAAAGTGTAATTACGTAGATTAGATTTACGTGAGATTGGTTGGAAAATCATATCAAGGCGTCGGTAGTTGTACCGACCTTTTTGCTACTTCCATTTCATCCGAAATTGCTATACGTATTTATTTTACTTGCAATAAGCACTGAGCTCGACAAGTCTTAAACAATTCCCGTGGCTATTTTAGGTCTCAAAATTAAGATTCCCAAAGAGGTGATCACCAATTGTAGCACGAGCGGCAGCAGTACCGGTTCCGTAGACGTGAGCGCGAGCAGGAAACGTGAGAGGGACCGCTCTCTGTCCAATAGTAGCGGCCCGCCCCTTAAAATCTCGAAATCCGCTCACAAAGAGTCGCAGAAGCAGAACGGCAAACACTCGTACCACAAGGTAAGCGATATCGTCGAACATCGGCCCGTCCCCGCCCCCGCCGCCGATCATTCGGCGATTCGCCCGCCCCCGAGATATCCCCACCGGATGCCGCCCCATCAGTATCACCAGCGCTTCCCCTACAGACCTCCTCAAACATACCAAATGCGAAACGCGCCGCCTCCTTCTCCATTCGCACCTCCCAAAATGCCGTATTACCCTCCTCAACAGGTACCGCCTCCGGTCGTTCCCAATATGAGCGTCCCCCCGCCCACTTACGGGATGTATCCGGCGTATTACGCGGGATACGTGTATGGCGGCGACGTGTACCACCTTGGGGTGAACGAAATCCACCCACCTCCCCTCCCGACGGACGCGCCTCCCGCCGACGTCCCGCCACCCCCTCCTCCAGAATGATTCGAGAGGTAGACGTTGTCGACTTGCCGGAATTTTTTCTCTCTCTACACAATTCACACCACACATGGTTTGCGTAATGACAATTCTACTAAGCTGTTTATTATTTATTGTGGTATTGATACACTTTTTTCAAAGTTTCTTTAGATTGTTATGAATTTTATTGGATATATATAAAAACATTGTTTGATTACCCAACAATATGTAAATAATTTCAGTAAAAACATGTCAATAAATAAAATGATAAAGTAGTTTAAATCAAATTCACTGTAACGAAAAAGTTGAATTTTTAAGTGCATATATTAATTTGCAGGCACCTTTGTCGAAGGTTTTTTACTTGATATGTAAAACATTGTTTGACTATTAAATAATGTGTAAATAATTTCAGCAAAAATAAAGTAAATAAATAAAATGATAGGATAGTTTAAATCAAATTCACTGAAACGTGAAAATTGAATTTCTAACTGCATATATCAATTTGTAGGTACTTTTGTGTAGGGGTCTTTAAATTATTATACATTTTACTTGATATGTTGATCATTGTTTGATTACTAAATAATGTATAAATAATTTCAAGAAACTTGTCAATAAATAAAATGATAAAACAGTTTCAAGCGAATTCATTGTAACGGAATAGTTCTATTTCTAAGTGGATATATCAATTTGTAAGCACTTTTTTCAACTATTCTTTAAATTATTATGACTCTATATGAAAAATATTTTTTATTACTAAATAATGTGTAAATTTCAGCAAAAATATATCAAAAAATTAAAAGATAAAACAGTTTAAATCAAATTCACTGTAACGTGAAAGTTGAATTTCGAGCTGCATATATCAATTTGTAGTCACTTTTGTCTTGTCTTGTCTTTAAATTATTATGCATTTTACTTGAATAATATATAAATAATTTCAACAAACATATATCAATAAATAAAATGATAAAATAGTTTAAAGCGAATTCACTGTAATGGAAAAGTTTTATTTCTAAGTGGATATATCAATTTGTAGGCACTTTTGCAAAGGTTCTTTAAATTATTATACATTTTACTTGATATCAAAAATATTGTTTGATTACTAAATAATGTGTAAATAATATCAGCAAAAATATATCACAAAATTAAAAGATAAAACAGTTTAAATCAATTTCACTATAACATGAAAGTTGAATTTCTAACTGCATATATCAATTTGTGGTACTCCTGTTTAAACATATCAACAAATAAAATGATAACACAGTTTAAAACAAATTCACTGTAACAGAAAAGTTCTATTTCTAAGTGGATATATCATTTTGTAGGCACTTTTGTCGAAGGTTCCTTAAATTAATAAAATCAATTTGTAGACACTTTTGTCAAAGGTTCTTTAAATTATTATAATTTTTTCTTGATATGTAAAATATTGTTTGATTTCTAAATAATGTGTAAATAATTTCAGCAAAAAGATATCAATAAATAAAATGATAAAACAGTTTAAGTAATGTGAAAGTAAAATTTCTAAGCGCATATATTATTTTTTTAGAAACTTTTGTCTAAGGTTCTTTAAATTATTATACATTTTAAAATGTAAAATATTGTTTGATTACTAGGTAAAAGTGTAATTAATTTGAGCAAAAATATGTTATTAAATAAAATGAAAGAACAGTTTAAATCAAATTAACTATAACGTTTAATTTCTAAATGCATATATCAATCTGTAGGCAATTATAAATTTTATTTGACATATAAAACATAAGTTCAATTTGACGTATAAAATATTGTTTGATCACCAAATAATTTATAAGTAACATCAGTAAATAATATGTTGATAAACAGAGTAATCAAACAACGTTAAGAAGACTTAAATATTTTGAATTTCTAAGTAAGTAAACCATTATAAATGTTCACCCCCGCTAACTTTTTTCCTTTAGATTAAAAAAAAAAGTTTAATATAAAAATTGTAGTAGGGTACAATTGAAAGTTTTTTTCCATGTTAAGTCCACGCATACAGGGGTGTAAAAAAAAATAGCAAATAACGTATTTTTTTCTTATTTGTGAACCCTTCAAACGAGGATTTTAAAATTCTATTAAAGACATGTTATTTTTAATATTTAAAACAGATAATGTCAAAAATTTCACTTAGTAGGCCATTTTTTTCACTAGTCGTTTCATTATTCGTTTTGATGAAATACAATGTTTTTATCTACATTTTTGTTAGATCCTCCTCTATGCGTAAACGTAACATGGACGAAAGAAAACCTTAGAACTTTTATATTAAACTTTGCCGGAAAAGAGTTTAGTGGGATGTCGACACTTATAATGAATCTTCCTGTACATAATAAATAAATCCACTTGTATCAGCACCTTCGTTGAAGGTTCTGCTATTATGAAATTTCTTTGATATACAAAATATTGCTCGATTAGCAAATAATAATAAATAATAATAAATAAAATGTTCAAATAACCACAGAACAGTTTATATTAAACTCACTCTATACATATTTATAATCGATTTGTAGAATTTTTTTGAAGATTCTTTAGCCGATTATAATAATAATAAATATAATAAAGAGAGAATAGTTTGTAATTTTAAAAGGACTTAAATATTTGCGACTTCAAATACCAATTTGTTGGATTTTTTTCGGAAGGTTTTTTTAGATTATTATACTTCTCATTGTTTAATCCCCAGATATTAATTTTTTCTTAAAAATCTAGCACTGCGACAACGTCACTATTTATTTAACCTTAGTTATATTAAACAATAGTTACCAACTTGCTCATAGGCGAGCCGAATCTTCCGTTCGAGTATTCCCTCACATACCTATTGCATGCACCCATACGTTTCGGTACCGGATACCACGGCTCGCTTTTGTATTTTCTTTGACTGCCTTTCGAGATTAAAAGTTAGTAGTATTTCAGTATTTCTGGCCAGCATTTTACGCGTGTAGTGCAATAGTAGTTATCGTTTGTTATCACGTAGACTGTTATGTATATATATATTTTATGATAATTTTATCGAAAAATCGAAAAAAAAAGTACTTTTTTATATTTTGTGTATTGTACGAGTTTTCTTTTTGTAATCGTTACACCAATTGTGGATTTAACTGAGAATCATTGCCATACCTACAACTACCATAATGAACCGAGCCGATTAGATCGATGAGAGGTTTAACACTCCTATCATTATTATTTTTGCAGTGTTGAAATTTGAAAGATGACATTTTGATAAAACTCATCACACTTTTTAACTTAACTTTTTATTTTTGTTCGACGTCGACAATATTACTGTTATTCCCTTATTTAATGTAGTTTTAGTCTCTACGTTGAATGTAGTAATGTCTATAGAATATACCCAAATAAAGTTTTATTTTTCTAAATTTTCGTAAATTATTATATCCCCGTGTATTTGTGTAGTTAGTTAGCAGACCTCGTTGGTTCTAATATATGTGCATGAGGTTAACTTTTTCGGTTGGTTTTCAGAAATCTCGGGCACGTTGCATCGTTGGTTGTTTAAAATTACTTCCCTTGGATACATTAGATTTGTTCCTATTTAATGTTCTAGAACCGTCTCGTTTTTAAATTAATAGAACTAGTTTGAGATAATTCAAAGTGTGTGTTCCCAGTTTCAAAATATATTGAACTTTTTTTTTGGAAATGCAAAAATGTATGATAATAAATTCTCAAACAGCAAGTTTTCTCAGGACACCAACATCGCTAGCAAGCAAACTCCAATACTGTAACGAAATAAGAATATAAATTTTTTTTTTCAAAAATTCAGAGATTCGGATATAATCGAATGCTACCATCCAATAGAGAATGGAACAAAGTATAAGTAAACGAAATATGAGAAGTCAAATATTTACCATTAAATTTTAAAGTTTTTTTTTTAATTTTCTAATCTAGGTTATTTCAATAATGTTAAAAATGTTCAAAGTTCCTCTTACCCCTCTCTGTTTAGCTTAATTTTTTTCTTAATTTCTTGATCCTCACACAAAAATCATTCTGTACATTGTTTTAAAATAATTTGCATCAAAACGTTTTTTTTTTTTCCTCTTTCAGCCATATTAGATATAATGAACGCTATGCAACCAAATATATAGCAACCTTAATATAATAAGATAAATAACGTTTCCAAAATTGGTTGTATTGGTAGATTATCATCTGAATGACGTCGGTGTGTTGGTTGCTTGGTTTTCCTCGTGGTTTTTAATTTGCAAAATAGGTGTGTCAAAAAAATATAAGCTTAAATTTTTGAAAAAAAAATTCGATAACCAATTTTCGAAATTTTATATTCCACTTATTTGCAATCGAATTGATCGAATTGTGACTAATCGGACCGCCACCTTTAATAAAAAAAATTAAATTGTTAGAGGTATTTGGAGGAAATTACAAAAAAAAACGTTTACAATTTAATAGTCAATTTTTGAATTTTTATATTTGGCATATTTGCGGTCGAGAAAGGCTGAAATTTTTAGGATAGATTTTTGGTTCTTTGTATTGGACGGTAGCAAAGTATCTGTTATATGTGGTATAATTCGCCGTAAAGGACAATTTTTTTGTAAGGATTAAAATTTTTTTAAAAAATAATTGGAGTTAAGCGAAGGGGGTAGGAGAGACTTTGAGGTATATTTAGATAGACATCATTGACCTCCACCTTTAATAAATATTTTAACTTCCTTCCAGCAAAAAAGAAAAAATTAAAAAATAAATAACCTTCACAATTTAATGGTCAATTTTTGAATTTTTATAATTCGCTAATTTACAATTGTAGAAGTCTCAAATTTATAGGATATATATTTTTGTCTTTTCTCTATTGAACGGTATCAAAATGTCGATTATTTGTGGTACAATTCGCCACCAAAAAAAATAATTGGAGCTAAACTGAGGTGAGTGGGCCCTCCCACTTTCAGGTACCTATAGATAGACCCTCATTAAAACTTAAATAAAAACAGAAACCTTTAAAACGTGATGGTCAATTTTTGAATTTTTATGTTATGCGTATTGACAATCGTGGAAGGCTAACTAACATTGTTAGAGCAACATAATTATTTTAAAAAAAATAATAACCTAATTTTTTTTTCACAAAACTTCTGGATTCTCCCTGCGTCGGATTTTGCTGAGTCGATCTTGCTGACGTTTCGCCAATCATCCTGTTGGCTTCTTCAGAGCTTGACTGAAACTGGCTCGTATTTTACTCTCTATCTGCTTATATATTGTTTGAGGGGGGCGGAGCTAAATGAGGAACATAAACACCGTCTCGGATGACTGATTCCCATATTGGTGACCTGAGTCGCGGTCAAGATTGTTAGGTTGTTTATAGATTTCTATAGACTCTCGGATTTTTCGTTGGTAGAAAAAGTGTCTTAACAATCTTAACCGCGGCCCAGATATCTACCTGTCACCAATATGGGAATCAGTCATCCGAGACGGTGTTTATGTCCCTCATTTAGCTCCGCCCCAAACAATATATAAGCTCTGAGGAAGCCAACAGGATGATTGGCGAAACGTCAGCAAGTTCGACTCAGGAGGAATACAGAACTTTTGTTAAAAGTATTACAGTAGCCTGTGGACGTTTCATTGAAAAAAAAATCAAATTTTTTGAAAAAAAAAATCTTATTGCAACTTGCTTGCTAGCAAAGTTGTCGGAATGAGAAAATTTAGTGTTTCACTATTTATTTTCATAAATTTTTACATTTCTAAAAAAATCGTTTCGGTAGGGAAACTTTTGTCCCCTTTTACGTTTAAGTAAGACTCGAATTTCAAATAATCGAAACGGAACAAAATTTTTGAAACTACGAAAACCATAACGGAATGATTCTAAAACATTACGTTCGACCAAATCTATAATCGGGACCCGCAACATTGCTAATACAATAACAAATTGCATGGGCTGCGTTTACTCTATTACACTCCTTCAATTTTCGATGTTTCATTGTTCCCCATGTAGTTTGCATGTCGCAAATCATTGCCCTATTACAGGAACCCTAAAACTCATAACATAATTTCGTTTCCGGCGTCCAAGCTAATAAAATCGCCGCCATTTTGTTAACTTGGACGCGTCGTGTAAATTATCCCAGGGTGCATATTCATCCAGTTTTTTTTTAGCTTTCCGTGTCTCGGCTTTTGCGTTCGGTGTGTCGATTAATTTGGTTCGTAATTTAGTTTACGGGGCTTTTAAATTAACTTCAACTTAAATAGAATTAAAGGTTGAAACTGGTGGTTAATTTTTATCTGAAACGTTATTGTATGTATTCTTTCAACACCCCTCTCACATATTACAAGGCAGCGGAACGCTAAGTATGAGTCGTCACGTTAAGGAAGGGATATATCTGGTTGAACGGAGTTTAAAATATCAAATATGGGTGAAAGAAGATAAAATAAAAAAAGTTTTAATCGCTTTATGCTATTTTAATGTTTAAAATATAGTACAAATATGTAGAATTGGAAAAAATGGTCTAGAAATTCATACGGAGGCGGTGCAATCATAGGTATTTTAAAAACTTTGTCTTATTTTTTTAATGAATCGTATTTCTGTACTTACTTTTGATATCAAAATTATTTTATTGGAGACTATATCATTATATTTTTTAATACTCTTTAGCAGAATAATTGCAAGTTAACATTGATAAAAGCTTAATTTGATTTAATTGATTTAATTTGACTTCGTGACCAATAGTAAAATAGGGGGTAGACAACTAAATTATGGCAATGGCAAAATTTCTTACTCTCTGTAAATTCTTACCGTTTTCCTTACAATTCGAAAGACGGGACGTTTTTACCGTAGTTAATCAAAAAATCGCAGTAACACACTTGAACACAAGGCTTGATAATTATTAAATACAAGCTCTAATTTAAATATTTATGTAGTATGTCGAACCCATAAATAATTATGTAAATACCATTCTATAAAATAACACAAATTTTCTATTAAATTAACGATCATATAACCTAAAAAGCCACGCGCATTGGTACTTCCTTTTCGTGATGATTCATCGATTTTTCACAGTGTGGTTTTGTCGCCTCATTGTAGATGTCGCGTCGATTCTTTCGACTTGAACTGAGGTAACATAACCTCAAATCGTGTGTCAGTTGTATTTCGGAATGAAAGCAAACCCGTGTCGGCTCACCGAAGTCTTTCATCATATCCTTTTAATCAACACATCGAATTTGTTTCGGTCTGCACACTGGGACATGACATGTAGCGTACGTTATTTTTCTAACTGTGCCGGCCAATCGGAACGCTAGTATAACGTGACGAATCTGTTTATATTGCTTTTATTCGCGTGTTTTGGATGAACTTTTATTGCTATTCGGCCCTATATATATATATATTAAAAATGAATAAACTAAACATAAATTAACACTTGTGGAATTATACAGTTTTTTTGTAGGTAATAAAATATACATATAAATCCAAAATTAAGCGCATATCTAATTATAGCACATGCAGTTATCACACCCTTTCATCACTAATCTGCATCTCTGCAAAATCTCCTCTCGTTACAAAGTTTATTCCCTCTTAAATTTTCAATCAATCTTTTGGTGCGAAAATTCTCCTAGTTCATCAGTGTGCACACAAACTTTACAGCAGTAGGTCATTGAAAATATTACTCTATTGTAGACCATACGGAGATATACCTAATAATAGGAAGTCCTTGTCAACATGAGACAACAAGCGCTCCAAAGGGGTCCTGGATCAAATAGTCTACATACTACTAGAAAAAACTGAACAAAGAGCAATCAGAATTGTATAGAGTTTCAGATGTGGATGTGGTGATCACTTTGTGTTGGAAGTTGAAGTGAAGCTAATTATTCCAAAAAATAGATGACCCAGAAAGGAGATGGGTAATATGACAAACGACTAAGGAGCAACAAAGAAACTATAGAGAAAATATAAGCAGAGAGTTAGATAACTTGTGCAAAGCAGAAAATATTGACGAAAGTTATGATACATGGTTTGATGATCAGGCAAAGCAGAAGTAATTAGAAGAAATAATTTAACTATGGAATATAGAATTAAGGAACCTACATAAAGGAGTAGGCAAAGACAAACAAGGATACCAACATAATTATATTCTGTAAAGACCAGGGAACCAAATTATTAGGTGGGGATGAGAATATTCTAAACAGGAGAAAGGGAGGAGGATAATGGACATCCATAATCAAAATGAACAAAAACCGCCCACGCAAGAAGAAATCAGTGAAGTCATAAACTAAAAAAACAATAAGAGACGAAGTGTTGAAGTAAGAAGGATAGGCTAGAATTTCCAAAAAATTGGACAGAAGCGATACTGTGCCTTGTGCATAAAAATGGGATAAAAGTAAGTTCCAGGGTTGTAGTGGCCTATAAAATAATTGCATCTCATTATGAACAAGGCA